TCCAAAACTTACACACCTCACATGTGGGGATTTACTCCAACTCCAACCTACCGATCGAGTTGCTCATTGCACATTTACAGCATGTAACGACTCCCGTGTAATATTACTTATTTACTTACGCCTGTTACACCTCGTGGAGGGGCATAGGCCGCTCACCAGCATTCTCCATCTAACCCTGTCCTGGGCGATCCTTTACAGCTCCTTTCAGTTGTTATTCATCTTTTTCATATCTGCTTCTACTTCCCTACGTAATATGTACTTTGGCCTTCCTCTTTTTCGCTTCCCTTCAGGATTCCAGGTTAGGGCTTGCCTCGTGATGCAGTTTGGTGATTTCCCTAATGTATGTCTTATCAACTCCGACTGTCTTTTTATGATTTCCTCTTCAGACGGAACCTGGTTTGTTTCCTCCCACAGAAGGCTGTTGCTGATGGTATCCGGCCAATGGATGCTGAGTATCCTGTGTAGACAACCATTTATAAATACATGTACATGTTTGATGTTGGTCGTAGTAGTTTTCCAAGTTTCAGTTCCGTACAGTAGAACTGACTGTCTTGACGTTCATATTGAAGATTTTCACTTTGATATTGGTTGAAAGTTACTTTGAGTTCCATATGTTCTTCAATTGTAGGAATGCTGTCCTTGCTTTGCTAATCCTCGCGTTTACGTCTGCATCTGAACCTCCTTGTTCATCGATGATGCTTCCCAGGTATGTGAAGAATTCTACATCTTCCAGAGTTTTGCCATCAAGTGTGATTGGATTGCTGTTCTTCGTTTTGAATTTGAGGACCTTGGTTTTTTCTCCTTGTGTATGCTGAGGTCTACTGATGAAGAGACTCCTGCTACACTAGGTGTCTTTATCTGCATTTGTTCATGTGTATGCGATAGGAGGGCTAGGTCATCTGCGAAGTCCAAATCGTCTAATTGGTTCTGAGCTGTCCATTGTACGCCATGTTTTCCCTCAGATGTCGAGGTCTTCATAATCCAGTCGACCACCAGGAGAAAGAGGAAGGGAGAGAGTAAACAGCCTTGTCAGACTCCGGTCTTTACTTGGAATGCGTGTGTCAGCTGTCGTCTATGCACGACTTTGCACTGTAGTCCGTCATATGAGTTCCGGGTAATATTGACAATCTTCTTAGGAACTCCGTAGTGTCGAAGACGTTTCCATAACGTCCTACTATCTACACTGTCAAATGCCTTTTCATAATCAATGAAGTTGATGTACAGTGACGAGTTCCACTCAACTGATTATTCGACGACGATCCGTAGTGTGGCAATTTGGTCTGTGCACGACCGATCCTTATGGAATCCAGCTTGTTGATCTCGAAGTTGGGCGTCTACTGCATCTTTCATCCGGTTCAGCAACACTCAGTTAAAAACTTTCCCTGGTATTGACGGTAGTGAAATGCCTCTGTAGTTTTAACATTTGCTCAGATTTTCTTTCTTTGGAATCTTGATGATGTGTCCTTCTCTCCAGTCCATCGGCATGCTTGTGGTTGCTTCGATATCTGATTTCAGTGCTTCAGCTGGTATGTTGTCGGATCCTGCTGCTTTCCCGTTCTTGATTTGTCTGATGGTCATTCCGATTTCTTCCGTCGTCAGTGGATTGACATCTATAGAAAGATCTGTGTGTGCCGCTTCGATGTCCGGTGGATTCATTGGAGCCGGCCTATTCAGGAGTTCCTCAAAGTACTCTACTCATCTGTTCCGTTGTTGTTGAATTTCAGTGAATGGCTTGCCTTCTTTTTCTTTGACCGGTCTCTCTGGTTTACTGTATTTCCCTGCTAGTTTCTTCGTCGTATCGTAAAGCTGTTTCATATTTCGTTCTTTTGTAGCTTCACGTGTAATAAATCTATTGAAATACCAACCACTTGTAAACATAATCATCGGGCAACAGAAGGACACATCTGCCTGTAGATTATTCACTGAAAATAAGCGAGATTCAATCGGATACCAACGGTAAATTCATCTTCCTCCTGCTTCATTTGACACGCTGTCCTCCGCCACATACTAACCTATACAATTTATTATTACGTGTCCACCGTTTACCTAATTCACAGTTGTCGAGTCCCACGTTCAGACATGATCATCCTTACCATTCATAAACAAGGTTATTTATGCGGACTTCAACATGCCTGCGATTTCTCGGTCTTCAGTGAAAACGTTGAAATGTTTTGAATCATTTGCGGAGTGCTCAGAGCTTGGGCAGAGGACTCAATACATCGGCAGACCTAACAGTCATCAAAATACTTTGGATTTAGTCCTCAGCATTAATCTTACCCCCAATAATTTGTCCATTGGAAAGACCGTAATATCATCATCTACAGTCTTGGTAATGAAAGCTACAACTAGTAAACATAAAAGTATCACACTCCGTAGAGACTACTCCAAAATCAATTGGGAAAGCTACTAAAATTGCCTAAGGAGCATTGATTGGAGGAACTCTCTTACCGGTAACAATACCGACATAATAGCTAACATATTGTGTTACAACACCAGTAGCACCTTTGACAACCACACCTTTAGAGTACTGTGATCTTTCTAAAGATCATTATATACCGGTCCGAATACGAAGACGAATTAGAAGACAAGACACCTGGTCCCAAATCCTTAATGAATTTTTCACTTTACTTACGGTCAGACAAATATTTGTCAAGGCAGAGGCAATATGTGCATGGAAGTGGTCGCACAGAAACCTAACAATGATTCACTCCCACTTATCAAACTCCTTCAAAATGAACTTGAATGTACAAAAGTGAGGGGATGCAACATATTTATTAAGGACAACCGAGTAAACAAAGATCCCAAATTTATTGCGGAACTATTTAATGAACAATTGTGCCTCATCAACAAATGGAAATCCACTGAATGAATCAGAGTTTACCCCAGTATCTTCCTGTTAAATCACAAATGTTGACTTAAATGTACCGAACATATCTAAGGCAAATAACACACTGCAACATTCTTACACTGAAGAACCAGCTAGTATTCCAGCTAGCCTGCTATAATGTGGAAGTGATGATCTGTACGCTATACCTCTTAAACTATTCGCAACACCATTCTCTACCGCGCGTCACCCTACTGACTAGAAACCTATGCATACCACCTCCGAAACCAAGTCAGAAACTGTAGTAAATGCTCGACATTTTCGGCCCGTATAAAGGACCACCGGCATTTAGAGTGATGGATAATGTAGTTAAAGCGGTGGCAGTCCAATATCTACTTACCAATAGTCTCATCTTGGCCACCCAACATTAGTTTCTGAGGTTCAGGTCATGTGATGCATACCTGGTGGACTTAATTATGTAACGCCATACCAAGACACCGGGCCGCCTGTATTAGCTCTATTCTTAGACGTTAAGAAAGTTTTTGACTAGGTTCCGTATAAAAGGCTTCTCGTCAAGTCAAAGTCCCTCGGAATCGATATCCATCTATCATCCTGGTTCGCTTTGTTCCTAACAGAACTTTGAAAAATTGTGAAGTAGAACGACCGTCTCGCATCGCTACAACCAATAAATATTGGAGTTTTCTACCGATGCGCATTTCTCAACCTCGAAAATCGTTTGTTTAGAACCAATATTACTACACTTCCTCTATTATTTTAAAGTCTGGAAGACCATTGAGTTTCATCATAACGAAGTCTTTCACGACTGAATGTAAGCTTACATTTTTCGAAATACGTACACGGCCCTCTCTTTGTATACTGCTCTTTTTACCTTTCTGTACATGAGTACGATTCACAAGAAACTAGTAGAAGACGTCTAATGAAACTCCACACATCGAATGCTAGGATGCGACTCCAGTTTCGACTACACAGCTAGAGCTAAAAACCTCTCCTTAGAACCTTCGTGCTGTCGTCAACCATGTAACAATCTAATACTTTTTACAAAGTTGTGCATGATCTCTCATATCTAATCTTCCGCTTAACTGTGGTCCATGACTCTGTCATTAGGCTCAGGAACAACGATTCAAATTCCCCTTATTATTTGAAGCCAATCACCTCGTTTACAGAAAGAAGTCTGTGGTGGTTATGTTCCTAACTACAAAATCCCCAAAGCTGAACATAAGGTAACTGGAGATAAAGCCGACAATAGTGAACGAGCGAACAATTCGTTCATTCAGTCGGATGGAATGGCTCAGCCCCGCAGACGTGATCATTCTCTATAATATTTCTCTACTGGCGTTAAATGTTTTATTTTATCTTTAGCCCAAATATGTTCTTCGAAAGCGTCAGATGTTATACTGCTGATTCTTACCATACAATGAGTCAGCGTACTTCTAGTTCTAATTGTCAGTTTATTCTGGTTCTCTACCTATGTTGTTTCTATTCGTTATTGACTACTTTCATTATTTAATTTAGGTATATTTGATGTAATTAATGAGTCGTTTCGCGTTTTTACTATTCTATTTTCTCCACATGTTACTCTTCACGCTTCTCCAAATTCGGACCGCTACTCTGTTTAGCACATATTTGAGGCAGTTCTATGGTAACGTGTGTTCCTTAAAAGATACTGCGTAGGTCTAGTACAGTAATTTCTCACTTCCAGTCTTCCTTTTGTAACATTGTTAATCATATCAATGTATCAGTTCTTTGACTAGATATCTGGACTTACGAAATAACACCAGGCTACTTTCGAATAATGAATCCATAAACCCACTATTCCGTGCTTCTGTGTAGTCACACTGGTGATAGTGATGTCAACTAGAAACAGTTGAATTTTTCTCACTATCCTTGTTGTATTCACAAAATATGTATGTATCTAGGCCTTATTCGTTAGACGAAATAAACTTGCGCGTAGCAATATATCAGTGTTCTAAACGAATTTTATTTCTATGTGAACTGTTAGAATGAAATGTATTTGTATTCGGTCGTTGATTTTGTATTTTATTTGAAATTAACAGTTACTTTATACTTTATTTGTTCTTTTCTAACTCCTCAAAACTAACTATATGTTTTTTTCTAAATTCCTGAATACATGATTTAGGATTTAGCATAGAAGGTGATGGTGGACGATGTGGATAGTTCTAATACGTAATTCTGTCACTTTTTTGTTAATGTTTTAGAAATTTGTCGCTCGTAGAAGAACATTCTTCAACACAAATAAGATCAAGTTTAAGTTGTGATAGCCCGCAAAACAAACCTAATAATAAGACCTGGAGCAGTTCACTAAAGTGTTCTGTTTCGTGTACTTCTTTATTACCGGTTTTCAGCATACCTTCAGAAAAGAGTCCTTCTTCGTATGTCTACCGCACAGATGGTGCTGAGCGTGGACTGTGTGTTGTTTTTTCAGTTGATAAATTTGATCCGATACTTTGTTTGCCACCAAGAAATGGTTCTTTGGTTGATATACAAAATATTAAGAGAGCTTTTACGAGCCTCGACTTTAGGGTCATAGTGCATTCAAATCCGACATCCGAAAGTTTATTTTCTTTAATCCGAACAAGTAAGTTGTGTGGATTGTCTAGTTTATATAAGGTGTAAAATATATTTACTTGGGCGGTTTTGTAGAGATTTTGTTTAATCTGTTAGTAATTTTCAGAGCCTTCTAGTTTCACTTGAGCAAATGTTTCGTCCCATTTTAAATGTAAGCCAAAAAACTGGCGGAAAGACTTCGATTATATATATATATATATATATATAATATATATATATATATATGAGTATCCTTACAACAATTTCACTATATCAGTTATATGAAAATACAGACTGCTCCGCTAATGCTCACGCATGGCCACGCGTATATAGCCACTGTCAGGGAAGCCCTACTCGCTGGTTTCTTGCGGCATTGCTATTGTTTACGAAATTGAGAGGAGAAAAACCGAATGTCCGGCGCTTTAACCGGTTGGTGGCCGTGGAGAGTCCATCTAGAAGAGTTGGAAAACCCTGATTCCAAACCGATGGTCTACATGGGCTCCAAAATCCTGAAGAAACAAATGGCATATGAACCAATTGTTAGTTACCGGCATCTCCTGACGTTGCTCCACTACCTTGTAGATCAGACCTTTAGGTTAAAGGCTCCGGGTGTGGCCCCCTAAGAAAACGATCTGCTTCAGTTTGGTCACCCGTGCAGTATCATAGCCCACACAAATCAAGTGACTTATGTTTATTTATTTGAAAAACATAAATATTGGTACAAGGAGTCACCAAATATATATGCGCCACACAAAACAATCACAATGGGAAGAGAAAAAAAGGATGGAAAGGAGCGTAAAAGAAAAAAAGGAAGAAGAAGGATAACGACCAGGTTAGTGTCAGGTAGTGTAATAATAATGGGGGAGACGGAAAGGTACAACCAGAAGAAATCTTTCAGTTTAGAAAGATACAACCACTTTTTTATGAAGAAAATCAAAGAAGGTTACAGCAAGATCGCCACTGGCTTATATTCTAAGCCATATCTGGTAACGTCTCTGCGCCCGAACACACGATCCCGAACCTCTACATTACTAACATGGTGTTGCCACTGGATGTCAGCAATCCTTCGGAGACAGTGATGATCAAACACAGAGAGTCATCTAACATCCTCAACTCAAAGAGGCCAGGTTTCACAAGCATAGAGCAAAACTTCTCTCACTGACGCGTTGTAGGTTCGAACTTTTACAGCCAGACTAACATCACGAAGGCGCCAAAGATGGCCCAGATTGGCATAACCCGCTCTGGCTTTCACTATACGTGCATTGATCTCATCACTTACACAACCACCAGCACTTATGCAGCTACCTAGATACACGAACTTCTCGACTACTTCTATCTGCTCGCCATCCAGAGTGAGCACACGATTAGGATCCTGCGAGTCTTGTAGAAGTACTTTGCATCTCGAAGGTGCAAAGCACATACCATACCTATGGACATTGATTGCCAACTGATTAAGTGCGGATTGCATGGCTTGGGCATTACCACACAGTAAGACAATATCATCCGCATACTCAAGGTCAAGAAGTCTTTCTCCAGGCAACAGGTCCACACCGCCATTACTTACACCCATCAGAGCTGTTTCCAGGACGTCGTTGAAAGCAAAGTTGAAGAGGAATGGTGAGATTGGGTAACCCTCTCTAACCCCATTGCTTGAATGGAACAATGGAGAGAGGTGGTTGTATGCCTTCACTCTGCCTGAGGTGTTTGTACATAGGGCCTTTAGGATGTTAATAAACTTCTCAGGCACACCGTTCTTCAATAGACAATCCCAGAGAACAGTCCTGTCCAACGAATCGTAGTAGACTTATCCCCGATAGTTATTAAAGGAACGACGTGAACCCTTTTTAAAGATAGGGACAACTATCGACTCATTCCATGACGTTGGTACACTCTTTAGTCCCCAGACCTTTGTAAACAACGTCGTCAGTTCCTTAGTCAGAAAGTCACCACCATCTTCTTGGTCCATACGCAAGCTTTTCTCGATTTCCTTACTGTTATGACCTTGATCTGTCTACTCTACATTAAGACCTTGACGCAATAGGCTGATCGGTTTAACCTTGAGGCTAGTGCGCTTGAGTTTGAGGCGGGGTAGAGAGAAGAAAACTATTCTACCACCTGATTGGCTGACAAGCACGGTAATGAGAGAAGACAAGACAACTGGAACATTATTCACTTTATTCCGATATATTGATTTCCTGTGAAATCTCCTAATTCAGATTAGTGCAAAAAGGTACATGAATAAATAGGTGATTTACCCGACCACAACGTGCAATAATTTGGGAAAATACAATTATATCCAAAACTGGGAATTAGAGTAGGAAATAAGGTGCAAAAATATTATGTTTAAATTACAATAGCTTCGGAACAAAAAGGGGTATGGCAATGAATGATACATCGAACGAAAGCTCATGTTCTGTAGAATAAAATAAGGACAAAAATAAATGTCAGTGTTTTACAAGCTTTGAATAAGATGAAATGATGTCCCGAAAAATAGCTTTCGTAGTTTGTCAGGGCTTCTTGTTCCTCTGTTCACATCACTTAAGTAACATCCTTCGTTTGTGGTCAAACTCACGGTCACCCGGAGTAGACCGACGGGCTTCAATGAGTTGTAAGGAGCCTGAAGAAACCCAGTGCTTATAAACGGGACGTTTCGCGAAGCCGCAAGCGGCTTTACTCGCCATTTTCATGGCGTCATGCAATTGCGACCAATTCTCATCTATACTTTGCGGTGGGATGGTAGCTAGCCTAGAAGCTAGCTCGGTTCGATAAACACTAGCAACAGAAGTTGCAACCAGATTGCTAACATCAATCCTTTGATGGCGGTCACTTCGTTGTCCACTGAAAGGTAAGGTAAGATTGGCGCAGACCAGGGCATGGTCAGAGCCCAGATAGGTACTCCAAAAGGAGCGGCAGTCTTGTACACAACCACGCCGGCGGTAGCTGATCGCGATGTGATCAATCTGAGCCATTTGTTCCCTCAGGATACTGGAGCCCATGTACATCAGTGGTTTGGGATCCGGTTAAAGCGCCGGACCTTCGCTTTTCGTCCTCTCATTTTCGTAAACAACACCCCCGCCACGAGAAGGCAGTGAGTAGGACTTCCCTGGCAGCGGCTGTATACGCGTGATCGTGTGAGAGCATTTCGAGAGGGAATGCGGGCCCACCCCGCTCTCGGCCTTACCAGGGCATTTAGGGGCAGTGACTTGTGTGGCGCGTATGTATTCGGTGCATCTTTGTACCAATATTTGTGTTCACATAGAAAATAATTATATGAAAACAAAATTTATTTTCACCCTGTAAGTCACATTTTGTTCGGCGACTATAATCTTTTTCTCATTCTCTGCCAATTTCCCTATACCGTGTATTATAGTATGGTGAATATACACCGGTTAGATATTCTTTTTTCTGTAATACTACAGATTTCAGTTTACCATGACATTAATAAAGCTGTTAGCATCAAGTTAGAAGATTTCGGTTTAAACAGTGATGCTTTTCATTTACTGTGACATACAAACCTTAGTATAAAGTAACAGTTTTTAACATCACACGAAGTCCATTGATATCAATAAGAACACATCTGATTACTAAAGTATAGATACGTTTCGCAAAACAAGTGAAAAACGCTTTTCATTTTACTCAATCAAGCTTTTACTACTACAAGTAAACTCATATTTTAAAATAGTAAAGGTTATTAACTGTTACACTTTTATCCATGACTTATGTATGCACATATTCATTAAAATTGTGTAATTCCAGTCTCAACACAAAATCTACGCGACCATGATTGTTTCGCTTGTGTAATTCTTTCTCATGGTGATGAGGGTGGATTAATATACGCAACAGATGGTTCTATTCCCGTGGATCGTATCATCGCTCCATTTCGTGGAGATCAATGTTTGGATTTAAGAGGCAAGCCAAAACTATTCTTTATCCAAGTATGTCCTTTTTAATTATGTAAATCTAGTTTCTGAACACTAATGTGTAACGGTTTTAGAAAACAATTAGGGGGTTTTAGAGAAAATATTGGTTAGTTCTCCGAACAAGTTGTGTTGAACCATATATACGTGTGAGAATACTACAGAAGTTTAAAAGGAGTAGAACTTTTTCTCACTTTACAGTTGAAGATTATGCTGATCGTACCAATTCTTTAATCTATTCTGACTTTTGTAAAGGATGTTGTACATATCTATTATTTTATGACACAATAACCAAGTACAAGTGTGTTTAGTAAGTTTTGAACCACACTTGTTTCATTCATTTTTGTGCTTGACGTTTGAATCTTTCAATTTATGTTTAGGACCGCAATTGACCGGTCTCTTAGCATATATGCGTCCTATGCGGATTGCCTCGATATTGCATTAAGTCACAGACATTATAAGCAGAGATATTTGGTGGCTAGCAGTGGAATCCTGGACATGTGTTTCGTCGTATTTGGACTCGTCAGCTGGATGTACCTGTATCCCAGAGTTGATGCTCACTCCAGGACTTAAGCCCAATACCATTCGCTTCAAAAGCCATCGCGTTATTCACCTAGCTACTGAGTCCAGATAGCCACTGGCTTGTGCAATGGAGTGGAATTAAATTCAGTTTTGTATTAGTTGTTTAAATCTTCCTATTGTCTTATATTTACTAAAGCTATCAGGATGTTCAAACCAAAGCTAGTCAGTTGATTATGTAGTTCCTGAGTGTTTACTAAGTCAAAGCACTAAATTAGCCATCATAGATACGAGTGTCGTATTGTTGATAGCTAAACGAACCGCCAAATTCCAATTGAATACACATAAGAGGACAGATTATCAAAGAAACTGACTGACTATCTTAGACAGTGAGAGCTATGATTTATATCCAACAAATAGCAGAGTTGCTTATCTGATTAACGATTAACAAAGAATGAAGATGGTCACTAAGTAACCAATAGTTTCACCATCACAACAGGTATATCATGTGTTTTTCTTCTATTTCGGTATTTTTCTATCAATAAAAGTACTTACTTACTTACTTACGCCTGCTACTCCTGATGGAGCGTAGGCCGCAGACCAGCATTCTCCAACCCACTCTGTCCTGTGCCTTCTTTTCTAGTTCCATCCAATTCTTGTTCATTTTTCTCATGTCTATTTCCATTTCCCGGCGTAATGTGTTCTTTGGTCTTCCTCTTTTCCTTTGGCCTTGAGGATTCCATCTGAGGGCTTGTCTTGTGACTCAGTTTGGTGCTTTCCTCAATGTGTGTCCTATCCACTTCCAGCGCTTCTTCCTGATTTCTTCCTCCGCTGGGATCTGGTTTGTTCTCTCCCACAGTTGGTTGTTGCTAATAGTGTCCGGCCAACGGATCCGAAGTATTTTGAGTAGACAACTGTTAATAAACACCTGTATCGTCTGGATGATGGCTTTAGTAGTTCTCCAGGTTTCCGCCCCATACCGTAGAACTGTCTTGACATTTGTATTGAAAATCCTGACCTTGGTGTTGGTTGACAGTTGTTTTGAGTCCCAGATGTTTCCAAGTTGTAAATATGCTGTTCTTGCTTTGCCGATCCGCGCCTTCACATCTGCATCAGATCCACCGTGTTAATCGATGATGCTGCCCAAATACGTAAAGGTTTTTACATCTTCCAAATCTTCTCCGTCAAGTGCGACTCGGTTGTTGCATGTTGTGTTGTATCGGAGAATTTTGCTTTTCCCTTTGTGTATGTTGAGACCTACTGCTGCTGAGGCTGCTACTACACTGGTCGTCTTCTCCTGCATTTGTTGTTGCGTTTGGGATAGAAGGGCCAGATCATCTGCGAAGTCTAGATCGTCTAACTGCATCCTAGATGTCCACTGTATCCCGTGTTGCCCTTCAGATGTTGACGTCTTCATGATCCAGTCGATCACCAGGAGAAAAAGAAAGGGTGAGAGTAAGCAACCTTGCCTGACACCGGTCGAACGACTTTGTCAACTCTCCTCCATGCACGATTTTGCAGTGTAATCCATCATATGAGTTCTGTATGATATTGACTATCTTCTGAGACACGCCGTAGTGTCGAAGAAGTTTCCATAGTGTTGTTCTGTCCACGCTGTCAAATGCTTTTTCGTAGTCAATGAAGTTGATGTAGAGTGATGAATTCCATTCAATTGATTGTTCCTCAATGATCAGTAGGTGGGTTCCCAAGTAGGCCAACATTATAACTGACATATTTCACCCTTGCTAAAACATACTACACAGTGTTCCGAAGTGTCCTCTCAAATTCTTTATTTCGAAAGATAAGCTGAGGGCATATAAAAAGCAAATTTCTGATCAAGTGATTTTAAACTGTGACCAAGTCATTTCTAGTATTCCTGTATTACAAAGGAAATAGATTTAGTTATTCCAGTCTCTCGTCGTAAGGCTGGCTTGTGATTTCGGGTACCTTCTTAGTTGCAGTTCTCTGAACCGCGAAAATTCCTCGTTCTTCGATCATTTTGAAGCTCTAAACCATAATTACTTCCATATTTCTTTCCAGGACGTTTGTTTCGGCTTTAGCTTACATGTCTTTGCTCGCAAATATTAGAGAAGTAAGAACTGAGGCTGTATGGTCACTAATACCTATGAGTGCTGCTGCTCACCAACCCTGAGATAAGGGACAGATTCCCACTACCATGTTCTACTGGAGACAACTTTGCAAATGCGTACCCTAGATAAGGGGAATTGTTTGGTTTTCCGTATAGAGATCTGTTTGTTTACGAAAATTTTAACTACCATTCCCAACTGTTTCTCTTGTTATGAAATATTTAAGGTATGACTACTTAGTCTACGTCCGTTTTGTCAAGGTACTTTAAAGCAAGAGCATTCTAGTAGGTTAAAGAATACATGCGCAAATATGGTATGAATGGACAAAATCTCTATAAATTGAGGTGGTTCAAAAGGAAGATGAAAGTATAGGATTATGTATAGCTTTAGAACATAGTACTGAAAACAGTATCCTGATCCATATATGGTTATCCCCTTATTTTCCGAAGCTATTTCAACACACTTTCATTTTTACATATTTTATAGGGTTATGAGAAGACTTCGTTTTTGGCAAATTTTCCAGTTTTGCTTATAATAAAATTAATCGGTGGTAAGTGAAACTACTTAATCGTCACAAACCCGATTTAAAGAGTTATTTTGCATAATAAATTAGCATCAATACCATCGGTTCCTGACATTCCCCTTGACCATAAGGAGACGTAACTTGGCAACGTGTTATGTTCTACAAACTATGGTAGATTGAAGTTATCTTCCCACTATTGTGTTTGCTAGTCACTAACACCAGCCTCCCTCATTTCATGATGCTAGGCTCTCTTACGTTTGTGGTATGTATGAATAGTGCCTTAATCTAAGCCCCTTGTTGGAATAGACTGTCTCTAATAGCTCCATGGTACAATCAAATCAGATGGCTAAAGCTTCTGTATTGTGGGTTAGGCATCTATCCAGTATATCAGACTTCTATGAAGATAACTAATGACATAAGTTATAAGATACAGATCGGGTTACATGTGGTTTAGAGATGATGAGGACAGGTAACAAATCAAAGAATATGAAAGAGTATAGGATTGTAAATTTTCAGGGTAAAGAAAACAAAACATTAAGCAACTCGCAAGAATCTAAGACATTGTGTGCTTCTTATGATCAGCCTTAGTTGATCAGCATCCATAAGATTAGTGAGTTGTCTGTCTACTTTTAATAGAAGAAAAGACATGAAACCTAGGAAGAATAATGCAACTTTAACCATCAGAGAGATTTGGAGTCTGGAAGTGAGGAGTAGGAGCATAAAGGTGTGACTAATAATCGATGAATAATGGGAGAGGATAAGCCCTGTGTTCTGTTCATATTCATCTTAACGACGATGGAGTCCGTTATATTCATGATCGGTCTAGATATTAGGCGATCCATAAAAAGTGTCTTATTGGTGAGTCGGGGTTCATGGGATAGTTGATGAAGTTCATGAGAAATCTGCACATAAGTTGATCCACTAAGAAAACCTAAGTAGTGAATAAAACAGATAATAAAATTTTCACTAGTGACCAAAACGCAACATTACATACAAATAAAACTATCAAAAATGAAGGCTTTACCCTTGAAAGTAAGGCGTAGCGTTATTGTTACATGAAACGCATTCATGTCGCGATTTTCACAAACAAACAAGAACACTTCACGCTGGTGTCCGAAACTGTTTTACCGAAATTTTCGCAGAATAATTAAAACCGACTCCTTTATCGAATCATAAGCAAATAAAAGTCGTTGACTAAACATGGGACCGCAGCCAGTTTTGTCAGCATGCCTGAAGGAAATTAGGGCTAGCTGAGAATCCTATTGCAGCTGGGTCATCGTGTGTAAGTCCACATTGTATTATTTCCAGACCGAAACGAAGAAGAATCTGAGAAAACATAATCCCTTGACATTAATTTGTGACCTGAGTGTAATTGTTCAGTGGAACTTCGCATCACTATGGGACGATAATACAGTTTCTCGAACGGTTTGTAATGGTGCGAAGGCGGAAGATGGTATACGGGATGGGGATTTTGGACGAGTCAGAAAGCGAATCGAACTAGAGATACTCACATAGTGATTAATCTCTGCATCACACATATTCAGTACTTCATAAAGATATTTTCCGTGACATCTTTCTAAACGAGGATTCCAAAGCAAGTAATATCGGTAGTCAGAAATTAAGGGCTTCGGAGATATATGTTGGAAATGGTTGATGTATAGAGGAGTACATGATTTAAGCTGACTAGCTACTATGAGGGGTGAGTAACAGCATATCTGATCATGATCTAGTGAGGTTTCTTGACTGGGCGCCTCTAGCTGAGGGGTGTTCAGCAAAACCAATGACCTCACCATCAATGTCAGATATTAACAGGACTATTCATCTAAGGGATTTGTTCACTGCTACATGTTTAAAACGCTTAGGAAATTAGCGCCAGGTTCTGAATTGGTTAGAAAAACTATTTACAAAATAGGTTTGTGGTGCCTATCTTCACGAAAGTACTAATAAGTTAAACACAAAATAGGAATATTAAAGAGCTCTGTCAAATCCTAAAGGGTTAAAAAAACAGATCAACTGCACTCCAACGACCTTGTAAAAGAATAAAATGTGATTACATCCAATATTAAAACAACGGACAACAATTATCCGTATTCAGACATTAACCCGAGCCGATATGACAATAGAAGTTAAAAATTGATTACTGTGAGGTTCTAAGTGCATCAAAAACAAGTTAGCTAAACATGGCCTCATCTATAAATACTGTCCTCTCCACTGTCTTCTTAACCATGAACCTCATCAGACCTTGACGAACCTACAGCAGACTAGAAAAGTCTTAGAAATGGATTGTTGGAAAATTATTTTTGTCGAAAGCACGCTGATGTGGTTATCGTATGTACCCCTGAGCATTATATGAAATAAGAAACTAGATACGACCTGGACTACAAATCATCTTTAATAGATCTCGTGTTGACCCATTATGAAAATGACGTCACAAGCTTCTATTATATGCTACCCTTAGGTAAGAGTGACCGTGAAGTTCCACTCCTTAATATTTATATCTCTGTTAACAAAGATGTACCAGCTTAAATGAAACACGCTTGAAAAGCTAATATACAAGAAATCATGCACTCAGAATCCTCAAAGGAATAGACAACAAAACCAGAATCCCTCCCTGAAGCGGTTTAGGAGGTATTCAGAAATGTATGCATAAAAGTTATTGCACCTCACATCCCTGTGACTACACCAAGGAATGTGCGAAACGTTTAACTGTGGTTCAGTGAGGAAGTATAACGACTTCAATTGAATGGTTAACCATAACCATCAACTGTAAATGAGTATTCTAACTGCAATCAGTAGGTGTCCACACTCAATGTCACTTTAGTGTCGCCCAAACATCGTCCATAAATTATAGCCTCACTCTCAAGTGTTCTGACTTTACTTTAATAATAAGTATATATTTCTGCATGTGCAGGTACACACCGTTTTTACAGGCATGATCTATAAATTACAACATTTGTTGGTTCGCAAAATGCTTCTCAACTTATTAAGTTTATAGTTGTTATAAAGTGAAATCGTAGAGCGCTTGCTGTAAACTATGACCCTGAGAGGGTGCGTATGTCAAGTTTGCTCCAAACGTCAGAAGTTTCATAGCTGTGACTAGATCTTTTGTTATCTTTTTTCTATCCGATGCAAGCCACACAATCCTAGTGTAAAAGTCCGAGTTAGCATGTTATAGGTTGTCTTAGTAGAATAGCTAATCCAGCATAATATTGGAAACATGAGTCTGAGTGGTGAGCGTAGGAAGACAATCTATATCACAGATTGGTTGACTTATTCTCAATCATGAGGAGCCTGATACATATAAAATGTTCTGTCCCCACAAACACGGGTGGATTGAAGTTATCGTCCTCACCATCAATGCTTGCTGGTCAGTAACTCCCCCCTCCCTTTTGTGATGTTAGGCTCATTTAGGCTTATTTTTTGTATATACGTCATACCTCACACAATCCTCTGTTTCACAACCTGTTGGAAAGCACTATTTCTATAAGTACCATTTTACAAGCTTATCAAGCAGTTTTAAGCTATGGAATGCGGGTAAAGCATCGGTACAGTGCCTCTGTTGACCATAGTTTAAAGTATAGTTTGCCAATCAGAGTATAAGTGTTAAGAAAGGTATATTGTAGGGTAGTTGTTTATTTAAGCAGGCGGAAAGAGTATAGAAGTATGAGTTGTGGATAAGGGAACGAGTGGAGAAATAATATTAATTGCTAATCAACATAGTGTACAGAAGAGTAAAATGTTAATACAGGATAAACAGGAAGGAACTCACAGTAACTTGGTGCTGATGTTATTTTCTGTTGTCTTAACCAGTTGATTGGTAACAGGTTCCACAGATGCAAGACCACTGGTAGTAAACAGCCGATTGTGCGGTCCTCTTGACTTTTTAGGGTGGTAGTGAGTGTCCCTTATCGACCGAGTTTAGTTTAACAGTAATGATAGGTCCAGTGAGTTACCTGTCTACTTGAAGTGAAGAAAAAGGATGAAAAAAGTAATTAATACAACTGCAAAGTAGGAAAATAAAGGCAAACTGAACTTGAAGTCCATTTTGGTCTAGACATGGAGAGAGCCTATGATGTCTGAGTGGGGCACAGATGTGTTCGTACGTGCAAGATCAGTGCAAGTGAGGGTTTGATCAAGCAGTCTTACAAACGTGTGTAATTCATCTGCCATGCGTATTTCGGAGGGAAGACTGTCCCATATTATTGCATACTTGATGATGAAGAAGTTTTCCCGAGTTTTTGATCTGTATTTCTCAACCTTGACCGTAGATACTTTGTTTCGGAGTTCGTATTCATGTGAATCTCTAGCAAGAACTATCTAATATGTTGAATAAGTAAGGTTTTTGAGTAGTTTAAAGTAGAGAATCAAATTAGATCTAAGCCTTCTCTCCCAAAGGGGTGCTATTCCTAAGTACTTTGCGGGTTAAGTCTCGTTGTATTCCTTCCACCTTTACTATATCAGATAGGCGTAGGTTGGAAAATAAGAACGAACAGTATTCAACGATAGGTCTTACACAAACTTTATAAAGAAGGATTTTAGCAAAGCGTATATCTCAGAGATACCCTTCCCATAGGTTTATACAAGCCTTTCCATACTCACTCTGTACATTATGATCGTTGGAGAACTATGCATCTTCGGTTTTCTAAATAAGCTTGACATCGGTTACTCCATAGTACCTGACAAAATGCACCTTAGACTGTTAAAGGAACTAGCGCACTTTATCGCGAACCCCTTATGGATGTGTTTTAGTCTATTTGTAACCCAAGGCAGGTTACCAGAAGACTGGATGAACGTCAGTGTAAGTCCTATCTTAATTACAGGTACAAACACAAACCTGAGAAATATAAACCCGTAAGCCTAACTAACGTGGCTGAAATAAACTTAGAAAAAATTATCTAAAAGTCGTTTGAGCATCTAGACGAAAATCGAATTCCTTCTGATAAGCATCATGGATTTAGACACAGGTAATTCGCGCCTCGCAGGCGTACTAGTACCTTGTAAAAGTTGGTTCGCCCTCAAAGATCAAAAGTTAACTGTAGACGTAGCCTTCATTGACTTCTGTGAAGCGTTTGACAAATTTCCGCTCAATCGGCTGTTATCTAAGCTGAGGCCTATCGGGATTGGAGACAACTAATTTATGTGGACAAACGATTCCCTTATTGTATGCCAACTAAGAGTGCAGATTGACTTCAAGTTGCCTATCCGGGAAACTGTGCTTAGCGGAGTGCCATAGGGTACATTTTTGCTACCAGTGTTGTTCTTCTTATATGCAAATGACAAATCTGGTCACTTATCATCAACGGTTTGGTCATTTGCTGATAATTTCAAGATATGGAGAGCGATAAAAATGATTATAGTTTGAAGCTTCGAAATTACCTACAGCTTTGTCTGATTAGTCTGGTATTCAGCAGTTACTGATAAATGCTTCCAAGTGCATTTGATACATACTGGTCATCAATGTACGGAAACATACATGATGAGTGACATTGAGCTACCTAGAAGTCATGAACAAAGAAAACTTGAGAAGTAATGCACAGTGCTATGAAATAGCTACCAAAGGTTTTAGAGTCCTATGGTCAATACATAGGGACTTTATCCACGTTGATGCCAAAACTTTTTTGACTTTACGTACAGCATTCGCTTGTCCTAAACTAGAGTACTGAATACACTTGGCTGGTTCATGTTTAGGAAGTCAATTAGCTGTCGGAAAACGTTGAAAGAAACGCAAGTAAGCCTATTTCAACGCAGTGAAGCGTGGCCTAAAAGGATGTTATAATACTATTATGATCTTCAATCACATGTGAATAATGACGGTAGCGTGAGTTTTGATTAACCCGCCGATTATATTCGTTTTACAAACGGTACAGAGAAACAACAGATATGGAATATAAATATGATTACACATAAAGCGCCACAGATAACGAAAAAATTGCGGTTGTTATTTTGTCGTTACAAAATTCATTGGGTGTACATGTATATGACTGTCTAACAGTAACACACCCATGGAAGGCAAATATTGGGGGGGGGGGGAATAGCGCGGGATTTGGCCAAAGTTCCGTTTGTTTCTTGAATTTCCAACCACTTTGATGCAGGTAATTTCTTATGAAGATCTAATTCTTCGGTCCTGGCTACTGTTCAGCACTTTTGGTTTATAGTGGTGTAGTGATGTGTTTGTGCTCTTGTAGATTGACAAGTTACTTGTGATACCAACTTCAGTTTTTGATTGGTATTTAGTATATACGTTAGTTTTGATGCTTCAGTAGATGTCACTGCATTTTAAGGTCCAAGGTTAATCATAGTTTTTTAGAACTGTTTCTTGATGACAGTGAACGCGGTTGTGTGGTCAAGATCTCAAATAGTTTCAGTCAAATTATTGTAGTAATGAGTTTTTACCCATATACTAAATGCACGTAAATTTTAATCATTTGCGCACGTAAACATGCAAGTATCAATTTTCAAACAAAAGATTCGGTTCATATGTGTGTTCATTTAAAGGACGATGCTTAAGGTTGCATCCAGTATGTTTTATAAAGCTAGTAAATAAAATAAAATGGAAAGACTGATTCTTTTGCGTAGATCTCATAGGTCAATACGTGAATCTAAAGTACCATGTAATTGGATGTTCATAGCTGACATCGAATGTACTAATGCATTCTAATTGACTACTAAAATTCGAAATTCTAGCGCAACTAAAAGTTTACTCTTAAGATAAAAGGTATTTGATTTGTAGGTTATAATTAAGTTAATTATATCACATAGGCTTCTGTTAGTCATTTAACTTAAAGTTTGTTGGTTTTTGTCACGACAAGAAATTTGTATCTTCCGGGGACAGTCCGAACATAGTAAATATCAACTTTCATATGGCTAAGCAAAACTTGGAACTTCTAACCAAAACTTTTTTCTCTGTAGGTGAATATCAATCCTGACGTTAACTGTCTCACTTCAGTTTACGTACAAGACAACCTTTTTAGGGAGCTTGGTCGACTGAATTTAAAGTAGTTAGTACTGTCACTAAATTTTTATGTTTCATCTAAAGTGGATGAAAACGCGCATATGAATGCGTTAATACTTTAGTACGTTAATCGTTCCTAATGAAAAGCACAAATATAACCATAAATATTTGTCAAAATACCATTCCTGTTATTTGATTCCTTCATTAACTCAGTTATCATACTGTCCTTGTTATGGTTTGAGTCTATCGTATGATAAGGTATGTAAATAATTATTGGGGAAATATGGTGTGTATGGACTAGTCAATTGATACTTTGCTATCAGTCATGAGTGAGTCATGTTTAAGAACACGTTTGGACCACTAGTTTGCTATTTCGGCTGCTTTTTATGATGACCTTGTTTCCATTGTCTCCAGATGGACTTAATGCGTTTTACCAGAGTAATAGTCTTATCACTGTGTCATAATTTCAATATTTTCAGATTTAGTCGTTCACAGAGAATGGAATTAAGTTTCTGAGTATTTCCAAAAAGCTACAAAAGTGCTCTAATCAGGTTAACAAGTTAGGATAGTCATGTAGTGATTAATTATTGCGCGATATTATCATTAAATTAGTCAAAGTGATTTTTTAAGACGCAGAAGAGAAAGTCTTTTTATTCCTGAAACGACATCTTTTATGTTGGTCATTTTCGCTTAACAAACTCCTTTGCAAACATAATCTAACTTGTAACCGTACTTAATGTCGTTTCTATTGACATCTCATTTAAGTGCTTTAGTGAAACCTTTGATATGATCCATTATAATTCTCGAAAACGCTAAAACTTTCAATCAAAGATAATTGACCGTTGGTATGTGGTCGTTGGCCTCTCTTACCATACTTGCATCAAGTTATATGAGTTAAAGCATTCTTAGAAGTCCCACCATAACAGAAAGTTCGATTGCAATGACATGTCTTGATATCTAAGCCGTATTGATTACTACTCAGTTTTAGCGATTGAGGCTCTACTTTGGTCAGTTAGAAGACAAATAACAACAAATTAGGGGCATTAATGTCAGTATCTTTTATTTTCTTTCAGCTGTCCACTCTCCCCATTCTTCAGGGCTGTCCACTCTCCCCATTCTTGTTCAACTTTGTCATTGACGTACTTTTAGAGATAACACTCTCCTCATCTAAATTTACAGGGGTTGAACTTCTACCAGGAGGTTCACTTGTTGACTTAGAATATGCAGATGACATAGTTTTATTTGGTGAAGATGCTGACAAAATGCAGAGTCTTCTGACCACCCTAAGCAACAATGCAAGCATGTTCGGGATGCGATTCTCTCCCTCGAAATGCAAAATGTTGCTTCAGGATTGGGTTACATCGACACCCGAACTAATGATAGGGAGTGAAGTAGTTGAGTGTGTCGACCGCTTCACTTATCTTGGAAGTCTCATCAGTCCTTGTGGTTTGGTGTGTGACGAAATCTCAGCACGGATACAGAAGGCTCGACTAGCTTTTGCCAACTTGCGTCATTTATGGCGTAGGCGAGATGGGCGGAACATTTTAGAGAACAGTTCAGCTGGCCTTCAGCTACTCTACAACTACCCTCCATTCCCAGACAGTGTGAATGGAACATTGAAATAGGTCCCCCTACTCTTGCTGAAGTTCAAAAGGCTATAGTTAATCTGAAACGAGGAAGGGCAGCTGGTCCAGATGGATTGGCTCCAGAGGTCTTTAAGGATGGTGGTCCAATTTTAGCGATTAAGTTGACTAATATTTTAGCTAAGATCTGGGAATTAGACTTTATCCCATCTGACTGGTCGCAATCACTTATCGTCCCAATATATAAGAAAGGGTCGAAATCATCCTGTGACAACCACAGAGGGATTAGTTTAACAAACATAGTATCTAAAATACTGGCCTCGATAATTATCAAACGCCTAACTAAGACTCGTGAACTACAAACTCGAGAGAACCAAGCTGGCTTTAGACCTGGTCGTGGCTGCATCGACCACATATTCACCATTCGTCAGGTTCTAGAACACAGGCATACCTATCGGCGTCCGACGATGGTGGTCTTTCTTGACTTAAAAGCAGCATTTGACTCGGTAGACCGCGAGATTCTGTGGCAGTGTCTGTCATTGAAAGGCGTACCTCAGAAGTACATAAACCTTGTGAAGGCTCTTTACTCGAACACTACTAGTCGAGTCAGAGCTTATGGCGAACTGTCATCTACTTTTGCAACCTCAAGTGGTGTCCGTCAAGGCTGTCCACTTTCCCCATTTTTGTTTAACTTCATCATAGACCTATTGATGGAAATAAAATTCTCGTCGACTGAATTCTCGGGTATTGATCTCCTTCCAGGAGGTCCACTTATCGACTCTCCCTCTAAATGCAAGTTGTTGCTTCAGGACTGGTCTGCGTCAACACCTGAACTAAGGATAGGGAGTGAAGTAGTCGAACGCGTTGATAACTTCACTTATCTTGGAAGTCTGATCAGCCCTAATGGGTTGGTATCGGACGAAATCTCAGCACGGATTCGAAAAGCTCGTTTGGCTTTTGCCAACTTGCGTCACCTTTGGCGAAGGCGAGATATCCGTCTATCAATAAAAGGACGAGTATACTGCGCGGCAGTTCGTTCTGTTTTAATTTACGGCAGCGAAACATGGCCCTTAAGAGTAGAAGACACCCGTAAGCTACTAGTATTTGACCACAGATGCCTTAGAAATATTGCTGGCATCTGCTGGGATCACCGGGTAAGTAATAGTGAGGTTAGACGCTGGGTATTAGGGAATGATGGTAAATCAGTTGATGAGGTTATGAATCTTCATCGACTGAGATGGTTGGGCCACGTATTACGTATGCCTGAACACCGATTACCACGACGTGCAATGCTAACCGGGGTAGGGGATGGTTGGAAGAAAGTTAGGGGCGGCCAAACCAAAACGTGGCCTCAGTCCCTGAAGTCACTAACTTCTAGTCTGAGCCATGTTGGTAGATGCAGACTACTTGGTTGGGGTCCGCGTGACTTTCGTAACCAATGGTTGGAGACTCTTGGTGACATGGCTCAGAATCGATCACAATGGCGTCGGTGTATACACTCCCTGTCTTCCCTTAAACTAAGAGACTAAAATCACTTCATTCTTTCTGTCTACGAACTAATTCTTTCTTCCTATACTATATCCTTATTGCAACCTTTGACCTAACCACTCCTATGAATCCGGTGTTCATCTTGCTGTGCTAATGAGGTATGGCAACCTGGACCGATGCACATATGTGCCTGGTCCTACGTTGTAGCTGACTGACTGACTGACTGTAGGCGAGATATCCGTCTATCAACCAAAGGACGTGTTTACTGCGCAGCAGTTCGTTCCGTCCTACTTTATGGCAGTGAAACATGGCCGGTCAGAGTAGAGGATATCCGTAGGCTACTAGTATTTGATCATAGGTGTCTTCGAAACATTGCTCGTATATCATGGGACCATCGAGTAAGTAACACAGTTGTTAGGAAACGGGTACTAGGTAAGGATGGCAAATCAATTGATGAAGTAGTGAAACTTCATCAGTTGAGATGGCTGGGACGCGTGTTACGTATGCCCAACGACCGACTGCCTCGACGTGCTATGTTCAGTGGTATAGGAGTAGGTTGGAAGAAAGCTAGGGGCGGCCAAACCAAAACATGGCACAAGTCCATGAAGTCACTGACAAGTGAACTGAGTCATGTTGGTAGGTGTAGACTACCTGGTTGGGGACCGCGAGATGACAGCAACCGATGGTTAGAGACCCTGAATGACATGGCTCAAAATCGTTCGCAATGGCGCAGGTGCATCCACTCTCTGTGTTCTCCCAAACTCTAATCTTCTGAATTATTCATGTCCCTTTTTCCCTCTTTCCAAATTTCTTTCACTGGATTATACTCTTTAAATAACATCTCCAAACCCTAATCTTCCCGATTACTGCTTATACTCTTGCTACCTCTACCACTACGGGATTTGAATCGACCACTGCATCTCTGTGCTAATGTGGTGTGGCAACTCGAACTGATGTACGTACGTACGAAGTTCTACGTTGTTACTGACTGACTGACTGACTGTTAGCCATAGGACTATTTTTCCTCAATCACTTGATGTAATCACGGAGTCGCCGACTTCGGTCTCTTATCCTCTAATAAGTTCTGGGAAAAAAACAGTATCAACAAATTTTACTCAGAAGACATGACTTACAGTAAGGTGTTTCCTTTGGACAATCAGTATATGCCACGATGCTTCCTTATCACCGCCTCCAGCGGTAAGGCCTTTAGTAGTGCAAAGCCGACACACCGAAAATTTTCCTTAAAAAGACCTTGAGCGATCGACCTCAAGCAATTGTGCCCTGGGCTCTGCGGTCACGGTCCCAGGTCGCTAAGACCACCATCGATTCGAATTCTTCTTCAGGTTCCTTCCACGGTGTGAAAAATGGGGTAGTGACAGCCGCCCTCATACCTCTGTCTGCACCCGAGATCATCTCGTTGACGATGGACTTCTTCCCTCACCTTGATATTCTTCTAACTTCATCTAAATAGTGTGTGAATTCCATGTGGCTCATACTTTAAGATTTAATTTCAATTCGTTGGCCTATTAAGTGCTGTTATACTTAGCTTTTTGTAACTTAAAATGGTGCTATAGGGTTACCGGAATACAGTAGTTTGTAGTTGGTAAGTCACTCAACCTTCGGCATTCGTGTTGTAGGTCCAAACATCGTCTGCTTACACTGGTTTGAAAAGCTTGAGTAAAATCATTCCGTCTCACTCTAAAAGTTGTTGCTCAAAGTTGGGCGTACAAAACTGCTCTTAGTTACCAAGCTATATTAAATCAGGTTGAAAATTGCAGCAATCGAAGTGGGATGGAGTTCGGGCTTGAAATTCAATGAATGAGGGCTATTGAGTTGAGAATCTACTATTGGCATCCTGGCGACTCAGTAACACTTTGTTTAGGTATAGATGTTATCAAGTCATGTTGAGACTAAGTTAGTAATCACTTATGTTCTGTTCTCTACAATCGACGTTGTGGTTTGCGGTTTACACACTTTCACCTATAACATTTTAGGTTCGAATTCATTTCTATTTACGCTAATACTATATTAGCAATAAAGCGTGATTCTAGATTACGGTTATACTTTATGGTTTAAAGTATGCCTATGAATTTGGTGCTTTTGTTTATAGGCTGCAAACAACTTCAGTGTGTTTGATAAGCAACTTCTAATTCACCTAATAAGTATTTTTATTGGAAGTGGAAGCAAAATATGCTGACTTTTTTGTGTATATTAATGGGACCAAAATTTTGTCCTTATTTTTAGCCACGACATTTGGACAAGTCAGACGAATCATCTAACTTGTCGGACGATGATTATGTTCCTTATATACCAGTGAAGCAACGTAAACAACAGGAGGTAATGTGCTTCATCTTTCATTCGGTGTTATATTTGATAATAATCCTCAGTTTTAAGTGTTTGAGGAGACTACGAAAAGCTGAATATTCTTATGTTTGGATTGCCATAGAAAGTAGTTGGTTTTTAAACAATATAAATAAGTGTTTCACTGATTAGATTTGTGTGAGGGCTTGAATACTGCCCGGGTACCCAGATCGAAGCAGTTGATTTTCTTAGGGCCACACTCAAAGCCTTCGACTTAAAGGCTTAATCCACAAGACAGTGAAGCAACGTAAGGAGATGTAATCCCATGGTAGCTGGTGACCAACAGTTATTTATACGCCATTTGTTCCTTTAAGATCCTAGAGCCCATTTACACCATTGATTTGGAACCAAGGTTTCCCAACTCCCCTAGATGAGTCCTCCATATCCACCATCTCGGTTAAAGCGCCAGGCATCCGCTTTCTGTCCTTTCATTTTCGTGAACAACAGTAAGTAGGACTTCCCTGGCAAAATGCCAAATAGTTGATATGCATTTGATCGTAATGTGAATCCTGAAAAGAAGTTAGTGTATCAATCGCTAACTCGACTGGTTATGTAAACATCAGATGGAACGAGTTATTACTAATATCTTAGGGTTGATGCTCACCTTCGGACTACCTCTCGGAAGTTGTTCTGCTTATTTTGTCTACGCCATAGTCACCTACTAAGCTTGGACCGTATTTGTAAAAGTTAGTGTGGGCTTTTTCTGTTAAAATGAAAAGTAAAACTGTCTAATATCAGATTCGGTATACAACTTCAAAATATGTTAGTTCTTGTTTCTATGGTTGATATCAAGTGTTCGTTTTGAATATATTTCTTACTGTAATATCATATCAGTCTATTTGACAAAGGGATCATCATGAATTAGTTTTTGCCGCAATAATTAGCTATCGGTTCATTCAATGTGATTTGAGATACAGTTAACATAAGCTTCTCAACCCGAGATAAGTGGGATGAAGTTCATTCCTCACCTGTTAAAAATGTACTTCTAGTGGTATCGGGTGGATAAACAATAAGCTGAAATCCAAACAAAATTGTTTGTTTGACTGCTTCTGTTTAGAAGTTTTACAGGTGACCAAAAGGCCGTTTCAAGCCCGAATAGTTACCATTTATAATAATTATTATTATAATGGCAAAAATAATAGTTGTTATACTCGCACTATTTAATACCATATCTTGATTATAGTGAATTCTCAGCACGAAGTTCGCGGGATTTCACAGATATTCCCGTTTTATGATCATTTAACTCGTAAATATTAAAAAAGCTAACTGGCATTCATAGTCATAAATATTTATGATCAGGCTTGTACTCATGATATCTCATCACCAGATCGGTTTTTTATGTGGATCTTGCAGTAAGCACTCTCGTTTCTCCAAAAAAACCAGGAAGGGAATATACGAACTACTATTATGGTGCTCCTTGAGTTTGTCAGTGACTAGATTCGCGATAGGTTATGAACGTTTCATGAAAGCACGTGGGTACATGCGGTTAACTGACATAGTGAGTTTAAGAAATCCCAAAACAGGAAAATTCATAACAATAAACACATGTTTAGGAAAATATTGAGTCTAAAGTCTGAACAAATTGCCGCTTCGGTCACTTTTTCAGTTTTATGATACTTGGTTTGGTAGTGCCCAAATAAGATTTGATCTCTTTACCCTTTCGAAAATTATTGAGGAACTTGGGTAACCCATCAACTGATTACGAATTATTGTTTTGGTTTTGAATCACTTTTATCGTACCAGAACTAGGAAGATATTGCTGACTTGTTCAAATCGATGAAAATAAAATATGGTTTAAACACCTACAACTCTGTCAAAACTATTGATCCATATATGCACTGTTGGACGTTTTTAGGTCCAGCCAGTATATTCATTAAAATGAGGCTCGTGTTGTATATAAACTAGACGAGCTCAGCGGTTTAAGGACTGATGGGTTTGAATTTCAAGCATTCGATCTCAGGTTCGTGTCTCATTTCACCCATTTAAATCCAAAAAAACTGGGTAATATCATCACCCTTTGCATAAAATAGTGTTCTCCAGAGTTTGATCACTAAGTTATCAAAACGAACTGTTTGCTTATACCAGACGTATAAACGTAATTTTGTGTTAGTAATAAAGTTTCTGTACCACTAGTTTCATTAGTCATAAGTATTCGATTTCTCCCACTTCAGCTTACTTCACTGCAGCGTGTATTAGGTAATCTTGCGTACACTGAAGTGCCTGAGGAGGAACTAGACCAGGGTAATACAGCAGAACAAGTTGAAGATGATCCGGAGGGTATGACAAAAAAGTCATCTGATGACAAACATCATGGACCTAATGCCCAGGGTAGTTTATTTGATAGAATGTGGGAATTAAAGCGAAAAGCTGAAGGTATACTCGTCTGGAGTTTTTTGTTAACATAATTTAGAAAGGAAGGAAACAGAACGGGATAAAAAATTAAAGGAAGAAGCTAAGATTTTAGAAAGTGTTGCTGAAAAGACCGCTTTAAAAGGTGTTGCAGAACTAGCAAAAGGTATCCAGTATGATAAACCAATTCAAACCAGGTACAGTAGTAAAACAATAATAATTTTTATTTTAGCTGGGTACCACCTGTATATATCCGGGAACAAAGTGAAGAGAAATCTGCAGAAATCCGCAAAAAGTTTCGAATTTTAACTGAAGGTGATGATGTACCTGCTCCTATTCGACATTTTAGTGAAATGTGTTTTCCAAAGGCTTTAATTGATTTACTAAAACTACGTGGAATAACAAAACCTACACCGATTCAAATGCAAGGTTTACCAGCTGTATTAAGTGGTCGAGATATGATTGGAATTGCATTCACCGGCTCCGGAAAAACAATGGTGTTCTCAATACCAGTTATATTATTTTCTATGGATCAAGAACAGAAAATTCCATTTATTCAAAATGAAGGACCTTATGGTTTAGTTTTAGGTCCATCTGTAAGTTAGATCAATTTCTGTTTGATATCATTTTTTGTTTTATTATATGGTTATGAGTTTTCAATTAGGTAGTTTTTGTCTATCATTTTGTTTGTCACTAACTTTTTCTTTTAGGCATAGGTAATAATAGGGACCTAGATTTCGAATGTTTCTTTAGCAAACATATGCGCTATAATATATTAGTCTACCTCGTTAATTTGCTATTTACATAATCGTGCATAATCGTAAACTGTCTATACTTATGGAAACTACTTTTCTTGCTATTGTTATTATTATTATTATTACTATTATTATTAATTATTATTATTTACTGCGTCATTTATTCACTCTCTTTTATTCCCACTCTGTGTATACTTATTTTTCGACTTATACAGCAGCTCGTCTATGGTGGAAATTCGACTCTATCTAAACGTTCTCGAGTCACTGTCCGGTTGAAAATTGTATGTTACCACCGAATATGAGTACTGAAACAGTTTTTCTGAAACCACGTGCACCATTCAAACTGGCTGCCTTCAACGTTCGCACACTTATGCAGGTCGGACAATAGATAAGGCTGGCTATGTCCTTGGAAAGTCTTAAGATCGATGTTTGTTGTCTATCCGAGACCCGTATTCAAGACTTTGGTGAAGTACTACAAATTCGCTCTCCATCTGTCGCTTCAAAAAGCTTGTTTTACGTGCGTTTATCCGGGGACCATGTGGCATCTTCGTCTGGTCTTGCTGGCGTTGGTGTCGCACTAAGCGCTAAAGCTGAGGCAGCACTAATCGATTGGATCCCCATTAACAGTCGGTTATGTGCTGTTAGATTAGAAAGTTCCATCAAAGTGAGAAGAAATCGGCGTGAGAAACGATGTATTTTCGTCATTTCCGCCTATGCCCCGACAGATTGCAGCCCGGATGCAATCAGGGATGAATTCTATCACCGGTTAACTGTTGTTCTCCAGAAAATGCGTTCGACAGATATTTTGGTACTAGCCGGAGACTTGAATGCTCAGGTCGGGTGTCTAGGCACAAAAGAGAACCGTTTAGGTGGCCGATGGGGACTTGTTGGTCTCAGGACAGATAAGGTGGACCGTCTCCTGCAACTGTGCACAGACCACAACCTGTTTCTGGCTAGCATTAACTTCCGACACAGTCATCGTCTATGTGTTACCTGGCATCCTCCTTCTGCATCTCAAGCCTGGACTCAGATTGATCACATCGCGATCAGCTACCACTGGCGTGGTTGCGTACAAGACTGCCGCTCCTTTTGGAGTACCTACCTGAACTCTGACCATGCCCTGGTCTGCGCCAATCTTACCTTACTTTTCAGTGGACAACGAAGTGACCGCCATCAAAGGATTGATGTTAGCAATCTGGTTGCAACTTCTGTTGCTAGTGTTTATCGAACCGAGCTAGCTTCTAGGCTAGCTACCATCCCACCGCAAAGTATAGATGAGAATTGGTCGCAATTGCATGACGCCATGAAAATGGCGAGTAAAGCCGCTTGCGGCTTCGCGAAACGTCCCGTTTATAAGCACTGGGTTTCTCCAAGCTCCTTACAACTCATTGAAGCCCGTCGGTCTACTCCGGGTAACCGTGAGTTTGACCACCAACGACGACTGTTACGTAATGAAATCGAGCAGAGCTTGCGTAAGCACCAAGAAGCCTCCGGCTCTTTTTAAAGATGGTGGTGACTTTCTGGCTAAGAAACTGGCTGTGTTGTTTACAAAGGTCTGGGAACTAAAGAGTGTACCAACGTCATGGAATGAGTCGATAGTTGTCCCTATCTTTAAAAAGGGTTCACGTCGTTCCTTTAATGACTATCGGGGATAAGTCTACTACGATTCGTTGGACAGGACTGTTCTCTGGGATTGTCTATTGAAGAACGGTGTGCCTGAGAAGTTTATTAACATCCTAAAGGCCCTATGTACAAACACCTCAGGCAGAGTGAAGGCATACAACCACCTCTCTCCATTGTTCCATTCAAGCAATGGGGTTAGAGAGGGTTGCCCAATCTCACCATTCCTCTTCAACTTTGCTTTCAACGACGTCCTGGAAACAGCTCTGATGGGTGTAAGTAATGGCGGTGTGGACCTGTTGCCTGGAGAAAGACTTCTTGACCTTGAGTATGCGGATGATATTGTCTTACTGTGTGGTAATGCCCAAGCCATGCAATCCGCACTTAATCAGTTGGCAATCAATGTCCATAGGTATGGTATGTGCTTTGCACCTTCGAGATGCAAAGTACTTCTACAAGACTCGCAGGATCCTAATCGTGTGCTCACTCTGGATGGCGAGCAGATAGAAGTAGTCGAGAAGTTCGTGTATCTAGGTAGCTGCATAAGTGCTGGTGGTTGTGTAAGTGATGAGATCAATGCACGTATAGTGAAAGCCAGAGCGGGTTATGCCAATCTGGGCCATCTTTGGCGCCTTCGTGATGTTAGTCTGGCTGTAAAAGTTCGAATCTACAACGCGTCAGTGAGAGAAGTTTTGCTCTATGCTTGTGAAACCTGGCCTCTTTGAGTTGAGGATGTTAGACGGCTTTCTGTGTTTGATCATCGTTGTCTCCGAAAGATTGCTGACATCCAGTGGGAACACCATGTTAGTAATGCAGATGTTCGGTATCGTGTATTTGGGTGAAGAGAAGATAATCCAATTGGTGTCATCATCTTGAAACATCGACTTCGGTGGCTTGGACATGTTCTAGGAATGTCCTCCCAGAGAATTCCACGTCGTGCATCATTTGTCGACGCTGAGATTGGTTGAAAAGAAAGCGGACAGGTGATTAGTGTATGACATGGTGTCGTGGTATGAAAGAAAGCTGCAAAGGCCTGGCTTCTGTTGGTCCTTCCCGACTCCCTGGTTGGGGTCCTAGAGATGGTGCTAGACAGTGGCTAGAGATTTTATCAGATATGGCTCAGAGTAAAAGCCAGTGGCGATCCTGCTGTAACCTTTTACTTTCTTCATAAAAAGTGGTTGCTTCTTTAACTGAAAGATTTCTCCTGATTGTACCTTCTCGTTTCCCCCATTATTATTATTATTATTATTATTATTATTATTATTATTACGCTACCTTACCATATTCTGTTGGTTATTGTCCTTTTTTGTACGCTCCTCACCTTTTTTCCTTCTCCTCTTCGAATTCCCATTGTTTTGTCTGGCGCATATATATTTGGCGCCCTTTCGTACCAATATTTATGTGTTCAAATAGATAAATAAATAATTATTAGGAAGGTTGATTACATAGGTTGCTGATATGTGTGAGGAAGTATTAAACTAATGTCTAAGAATTTCTACCAATTAAACCTATGTAGCTGAAGATTTCGCATCTACTTCTGTTTATTAATCATTAGCCTTGTAAGAACGTTTTTATAGGTGGAGTGTATGTTTGTTTATTTGAGTGTAAATTTATCTGGAATTTTAAAAGTAGTAAATAACTTTTTCATTTTTATCAACACTTTGAACTCAGGTGACTATTATTTTATAGATAACTAGTTTCACTTGTACCCAATACATTTGAAGCATTTAGAACTGTTTGAAATGTTCATACAGTTAGAACTCTATTGTGATTTTAGAAATAGGTAACTCACTGTTGTTGTTACCAATATTTACAATTACTACTCAAAGATTATGAATCTATATATTGTAATTGAACATAATACTGACAAGAAATTACTCGTCTCAGTTGAATTTGTTTTATGAGGATCGTAAAAAAACTTTATTGTCTACTAAAATTGTGTTAAATAATTCTTTATTTTTTGTAATAAATTTGTAATGAATTATTAGTGAATGATCTTTGTAAGTAATAAATAATACTATTTCTTCTATACTAGCGTGAATTAGCTCGACAAACGCATGAAGTAATCTGTAGCCTTATTGATGGTTTAGTCAAAGCTGGTTTCCCGTCTATTCGTTGTTGCTTATGTATTGGTGGCATGGCTGTTAAAGAACAAGCAGATATTGTTAAAAGATCTGGTGTTCATATTTTGGTTGCTACACCAGGTCGTTTAATAGATTTACTTCAACGTAAAATGATTAATTTAGAAGTATGTCGTTATCTTGTTTTGGATGAAGCTGACAGAATGATTGATATGGGTTTTGAAGAAGAAGTCCGAACTATATTCTCCTATTTTAAGGTAAGAAATTAAATTTTTTCCTTCATCAATATATATATATATATATATATATATATATATATATATATATATAATTATTGCATAGACATTATGTAGATTGAAATTAGCTGAATCAATAGTATATTAGTTACGTTCCACAACATCCAATTAAGATATACACGCTTTTTGTGAGCTTGCCAACTAGTGGTGTGAACGAGAAAACTGGAAAATAACTAGAAATCTTTTATGTGTATACATTTGTCTGCTTGACCTGCATAAGGCCATGTAGGTTCATTAAGTGGATAATCGACTTATTTCAACAGCTTTTTTTATTGAAGAATTAAATTAAATTTTTAGCATCTACGTAAACTTTCTGCACAATAATATTTTACTGATTGGAATGCAATGTAACAATTAATTAATTGTTTTGTACTCATATTATATTGAATACCATTATTCAGGGACAACGTCAAACACTTTTGTTCTCTGCTACTATGCCGAAAAAAATACAAAATTTCGCTAAATCAGCCTTGGTGAAACCCGTCACTGTTAATGTTGGTCGAGCTGGAGCAGCTAGTATGAATGTCACTCAGGAAGTAGAATATGTGAAACATGAAGCGAAAATTCCTCATTTACTTGATGCTTTACAAAAAACTCCACCGCCTGTAAGCTTTCTCCTCTTATTTTGATATATATATATATATATATATATATATATATTACTGTTTAGCATTTCTAAGTGTTCCCTTATTTATCAAAGAGGTTTATTTTTTAAATTACATTTGTTAAAATTCTGTATAAGTACTCTACTAAAGCAAAGGCAATAAACTCAAATTTATACAAAAATAAGGTAAAGAATAAGCAAACATATTTATATCAGCATTTTTGTACTGTCGCCACTGCAGTCTGATCCCCGTCCTCGTTTTGATGTATAATGTAAATCTTTGTAACTTTTCAAACCACGGTGATCTGTTCACTTTATTCTGAATCGCTTTTTTGTTCTTATTCATGTGTGCACAAACATTTACCTATCTTGTTTAAAATTTGTCTTTAAAAATATTCTATTCGTAACTAAAATAAAATAACAGACCCTATCCAGCTGTCAAAGATAAGTAAGTACTGGTTGTCACGCTTCATCTATTGTTAGTTCAAAATTACACTAGGGATTTTTATAACTAAGATAACAAAAAGTATATTCAGTCTTAATATCTAATAAATGAACATTTGTTGTTAAGCATATGAATGTACAATGTGAATTCTTTTCTCATAATGTCAGTTGTTTACAGTGTACAACTTGAGTATTTATTTGTCTCACTGTAATGGAGCATATAATTTAAAATTACAGCTGAATCGCCACTTATTTTTTATTTTGAGCTATGTCTGGTAGAGTACCTGAAGTCATTGAGTTAGATGAATTTTAAAATCACAACCAGGTAGTCGTGATAATCTGACAGATAGCAATCTATTTTAGTTATCTTCTGTACCATGGTGCCATGTCATTCACAAACTCAACCCATCTCCATTTTTACTATTCATTTCGAGAGTCGTTAATTAGTATGCCATATGGAAGCCAATAAAACCTAAAGGTCTTGGGTATAACTCACAAAGAGTTTGACTATGCATATAATATGTCCCAATGTTTTTTGATAGGATGTATCTCAACTTTCTAGAAGTTAGTTACTTCCATTGGTTCATAAAGTTATAAAAATTTTCTAATTTCATTAAAATTTTGATTTATTTATAAAAAATTTGTTGTTTGTTTTGGTTATTTAGTTTTCAGTGTAATTCATAATTTTTCTTGCTTTAATTCGCTTGCTTTTAATTGGGGAGCTTGGCTAACATTGTTTTCAATGAACTAGGAGCTCGTCCAATAACATATTGATTGATATCATTAGTGAATGAAATATTCATACTTAATGTTTACAATTCATTGCTAGTTTTTGATACAAAAATATATTTCTATATTTTATTTCAGTTTTAAAATTTTATCAAGTAATTTTTTCAAAATTTAAAACAGGTTATTATATTTGCTGAGCGTAAACAAGATGTGGATGCTATACATGAATATCTTCTTTTGAAAGGTGTTGAAGCAGTTAGTATTCATGGTGGAAAAGATCAAGATGAACGTGTATCAGCTGTTACAGAATTTAGAGCTCATCATCGTGATGTCTTAGTTGCTACAGATGTGGCTAGTAAAGGTTTGGATTTTCCAGAAATTAATCACGTGATCAACTATGATATGCCTGAAGATATTGAAAACTATGGTTAGTTTAATATTGATAATAATTTTATGAAATTACTTTCTAAGTAAAAGTTGAACTTAGTAGGTCATTGGGTAATACGCTGGGCATTTGAAGTGAAAGGTTACTGGATCCGAGTCTTGGAATAAATATCGACTCTAGGATGTGCTGATATCGAACAAGACTATAAGTTAAAGGATTGTTTGTTAAGGGAAATTACAAAGCGTTTATATAATACATATGCATAGCCTTCGATCATACATTTGCATTTTGCGGTGTGCTTTGCAATCTAGTTAGTTCTAAACTGTCTTCTCGTGTGGTTATCAATTGTCCTGCTTATGCTGTGCTTTTGATGTATTGAAACTGTTTTTCGTCTTGCGGCTGTGACAACTTCGGCTCCACGTTTCCGCTCATGCTATTTATAAGCAATTTTGTCAACCACAATTGTAAGTACCTCTGTCTGACGAGTTCCAACTATGACAGAAAACACATCCTGAATTCCTCTACTGATCAATGTCCTTCTTTACCTAAGATACTTATGACTCAATGGTAATATTGAGGCATTCTGCTCAGGAGAGAGACTGATCAAAATTCAATCCCTAACATCAACAGCGGGAAGATTCAAAAGTTTACAAACAAAATAACTACCATAGATAAACTCTTTATATGAAGTTAACAGTAATTATTACTAACATGTTTATTCATAATTAAATACATGGTTTTCCTTAGACAAAGTTATGCAGCATGCGTAATGTAAATACAATTGGACACTGTCGTTGTTTATACTAGGAATTTATATTTTGTAAATACTAACAAGATACTCACTTGAGTGATTTATTTACATGTTTGTTACAATGCTTACTTTTTGAAGTGATGAAAATATTAGGGATATGAAAGAAATTCCTCATATGCACCAAGACACGCAATAAACCATCTATAATAATCATCTGCTTTCACAGCATCATAAATCCATTATGTCAAGTAACTGATCACTCTTAATCTTCTTTCTTTTCATTATTTCTTCCTTCCCTATTGAGTCTTTAACGTTAAAGTTGACATTGAATGCTGATAAGTCATGATGTTTTGATCATTGATAAATTTTTTGCTTCTGAAATATAGGTGCGATATAGTGTGGTGAGTAGTGGTGGCTTAATGGCTAAAGCAATTGACATTCAGTTACTGGCTTTTCAGTTCAAACCCTTGTCAACCTACTTCTCTATTGTCGGCCTAGTAGTATTGCTTACTGTAAATAAAAGTAATTTGTCTAAAAGCCAAGTACATGAAACTGAACTCGGAAACAGAGTTGGATTGAATTTCTTATTAAAATCTAGATTTATGACTATCTAATCCTTCACATTTTATATGGCTCATTACTAATTAACAGTTGTTATGATGCCTATTAGGAGGATACCATAACTTGTTTTAAAGCTAAATAAATGATTTATCTACTGGTATCTCAGTTCCTACTCCCTAGTCATCAACAATTCACTAAACAGATCAGTGGAAGTTACATGTTTCTTCGATATTTTTTTATTCATGATATTTGCTCATGGTTATAAAAGCAGGTTGGTTAATGAAAACACATATATCATGAAGTCTAATTTTCTTGGCAATTTCAAAAATTTATAATAATTGTACGTAGTACTAGTAACTAGTGTCAGCCTTAAAAGTATAATTAGTCGACTAATTTTTGTGTTGTTTTCTCTTGTTCATTTTAGTACATCGCATCGGTCGTACTGGTCGTGGTCATCAACGTGGGTTGGCCACAACATTTATCAACAAATCAGTGGATGAATCCACTTTATTAGATTTAAAGCATTTACTCATAGAGGCTAATCAACCTGTGCCAGAATTTCTTGTTGAATTGGCATCAGCTACTGAAGTTGAACTTGAAATGGGTGGTGAAGTTGGCTGTGCATATTGTGGTGGTTTAGGTCATCGTATAACACATTGTCCAAAATTAGAAGCAATGCAGAATAAAGCTGCTATTAATCTGGGTCGTAAAGATTTCTTGTCTTCTGCAGATTATTAACAAATTATCATTATCATCTGATAAGCTGAATACAGCCAAACATTTGATAGTTACTGTAAATAATTCATAAATTTAATTTGTAAATAAAATCTTCAATTGACGTTCATGCTTTTTTTTTCCTTGTCTTGGTTCAAAAGCTTAAATTTCAAGTTTGTTTTTCTTCAAAATCATGAGAGAAATTGTCTCAAGTTTATTATACTGTTATATTACTGCATATACTATATTTAATCATATCTAAATACTGTGATTCACAAATGAAAGTTCATTTTTGGTCTGTAAATTGTCAGAATATTTTCTTTGGAAATATTTTCTCGGTTCACATTCAGTTGTACTGTATACACATGTTTTTTTTACTACTTAGAAACCAATAGATCTAAAATAAATCGAATGAACTTCGATCTGAGAAGAAGGGATTTACTGATTTAATCACCATACATTACTGAATTCTTTACTTTCCCTTGGCAAGTAATTTCTTCATTAATTTATTCGAAATGTATTACAGGAAAATATAATCTCTCAGATTAACTCCATCTATTCACTACACTTTCGATGCTAAATTCTTAGATATTGTGAAAATCGGTAGTTGTAACAATTACATACTTCTAATTATCAAACTTTCCGTTATAAAGAAACCTGTAGATTTGTTTGCTACAAAAATAGGATCGTGTATAGTTCACAACTTTTGCTCAATTCTATCCTCCGTCCCATTAGTTTCAAAAGTTAAGAGGGTAAATATACTTTATTTCTCTGTTCATTTCAGCCAGTGTATAGAGTTCACTTTCACATATCTTCCTAATAATTTTCCGATATATATGTGTGTGTGTGTTTCCCAATCACTGGATACACATATTTCTCCTCCAGAGAATAACCTATTAGTCATTCGTTTAGGTTGATGAGGTTGATTTTATATCTATAATAATTATTACTCGCAAATTCTTTCAGTCCTTGGTAATTTAGGAGTAATGATATTGATGTATTGTATATAATCCCCTGAATACAGTATCACTACTTATTCTGATCAAGAAACTTTTTCGTAAAAAGTAATAGTATGAATCGTTTGGACCTAAATTGGAAGAATTAATATAATTCTTATATTGGAAATCAATAACTAAATAATTCAGTTGCTTGATTTTGTTTCCGTATAAATGTCTGGCCAAAGCTTATCAATTATAAATAAATAATAGTTTGTTTTATCCTCAGAAAATGCTTTTATACATTTGATAGAGATGTAATCTGTATTAAAAACGGGATAGGACGTATTATTTCATTTATATCAATGTATTACTGAAAAGTTAGCCATGTATTATGTTATCATCTAATGAATTATAAATTCTGCATTGAGTCCAAGTTTCAATCCTGAAACTTAATTTTGAAACTGGATGAACTGTACAACTAAATAATTTGTGAAAATTTGATAAATTAGAAAACACATTGTTTTTCACACGTCGAGCAAGCTGATAACCAGAGGGAAATGGTAGGTTGCCTGAATCCTAATGCCTCCAAATGCCCTGGTACGGCCGAGAGTGGGGAGAGTCCGCTCTCCCTCTCGAAATGCTCTCACATGGCCACGCGTATATAGCCTCTGCCAGGGAAGTCCTACTCACTGCCTTCTCGTGGTGGGGGTGTTATTTACAAAAATGAGAGGACGAAAAGCGAATGTCCGGCGCTTTAACCGGATCCCAAACTGATGGTGCACATGGGCTCCAGTATCCTGCGGGAACAAATGGCGTATGAACCAATCGTTGGTCACCGGCTACCATGGGACTGCATCTCCTTACGATGCTCCACTGCCTTGTGGGTCAGACCTCTAGGTCAAAGGCTCGGGGAGTGGCCCCCTAAGAAAACCACCTGCTTCGGTTTGGGCACCCGGGCAGTATCACAGCCCTCACACATATCGAATAAGATTTGTGTGGCGCATATGTATTTGGTGCTTTCTTGTACCAATATCTATGTGTTAAAATAAAATAAAAAAATGTCCATTAGCTTTACTTGGATAATCGTAACTTGTGTGGCTAGTTAGAATTAATAATAAATGGTTACTGATGATACTAATAGGTCGAGATTAGTAATTTTATTTTGAAAGGAGTGATGTGTACACTGAACAAGAACATTTCGTTTCTTTACAGTTTACAGAACGTTGGATGACTATATGCAAATAGTTCCGGTTTTCTGTTTGTTTATTTTTTAAAATTAAAGCCAATCCATAATGCAAAAATGTATTAATGTTACTTCCATAATAATATAATAATAATAATAGTAATTACAATAACAATAGTTCATTAAAAATCCTTATTGCTTAGCTTTACTTTTAACAAAAATAGTATTTAATTGAGATACTGACAATAAGATTGTTTTGGGAGTAGCAGTTAAAATTAAGGTGGAATGAAACATGGTTCACCAATATCATGTATATCTATCTACTTAAAAATAAAAATTGTGTACTGTTATGGAGAACTGTAAACAGAACCGAGTACCAGAGTTTTCTCCCAGTGTATTATGTTTTACTTTGAACTCGTTTTAGATATCTTGTTATAGTGATCCTTTTTGAGAAATACACAGCCAAAATAAGTAGTATTAACAGTAGTAGTAAGCAAATAACCAGAAGAATTATTGAAATCGGATGTACTATATTGGAGGAGAAAGCATAGAGCAATTTGAAAGAAGATAACATAGGGTATTTTGTAATAATAATAATAATAATAATAATAATAATAATAATGATTGGTATCAAATGTGCTATATTTTAAATTTCATAAATGTATCAAGATTTATTTGATGATATTTTTGATACGCGTTTTTAATGCAATCGCTCAATGAAATAGAAAATGGAAGGAACTTGTGATTTCTTTGTTTAGTTTTATTCAACCACTTGGGTTCAATTCCCGTTAGTTCGATGAATGGGCACGATATGAATCATGACGAGATAAAACTCCAGTCTCATGCCTCCTGTTTTTTATTTGTTTTGATATGTTTCGTGAAAGTAAGTTGTGATTGATTACTTAGAGAAGGTACATGCCCACTCTGTACTTAGTAAAATATTTGTCTGTATTTTAACTTTGATATGTATTCTGAGTTGCACTTAATGTTGGCTGCCTGCATTCAAGTTAATAAAACTTGGCCGGAATAGTGTATCATGTGGCATAACCTAGTGATGTAATAATATGGTGTTTTACTAAGTATCGTAATTTAGTTTGTCCAGTTTGTTATTCAGTGTCGTGTTACTGCATTATCACCAACTAGTAAGTTTCATTTGTATGTTAACTGTTTAGTGGAGCTTAGTAATTAACACATTTCCGGTTTCAAAAGGTTTCATTTGGCCAATATTTAAAAACCATTAACTAGTGGGCATATAATTTAGTATATTCAAGGATTACACTTTTATATGATATTATAGCTGCACTTAGGGTTGAGCTCAGATATCCTTTCGTTTTTATAAAAAGCTCGTTAATAACTTACATGTACAATACTCTGAACGACTGTATCCTCCTACTTTTTTCCATCCAAATCTGCATGCACAACTGATTCCATTCATCGTATTTACGCAATATGAATACGATGGGCAAATCGATTGACAATCCTCACATGTTCTTCTCACTGTATTAGCTGGAATGCGAATGGTAAAGAATTAGTCAGATGCATATGCATTGCTTAGGAATAACCAAAAAAGAAATACGCTATGCTTGATAATGATTCCAAAGTTTAGTATAGTGACCTAAATCATATTATTCTTCAGAAAATATAAACTGAGTGAAATAATCATAATATTTTGTATTCCTACCAATTTCACTAACAACAGGCCTACTGTTACTGTATTCCACATAAGATCAGATTTGTAGAGGCTAATTTCCTCTATATCTGACTCCAATAAATTGTATCCCGTTAACTGAATATTTAATGCAGGCTAAATCTCATAGTAGAATTATGGATTTACTCGAGATTATTCAAACGCCCGAACATCAGTTATAGAGATAGTTTATTATACACATAGTTCCCTTTATCATTTTGAAAAGAGAAAGAACAAACATTCTAGCAGAATAGCATGAATTCATTTTTACTTCGTTGGTTCTCGTCAGCTGCTTACAACCTGTGATATTTAGTATCAATTAATGGGTTTAAATTACTTACATGAAAGAGTTTGATTGGAAGTTATATAGCAAGGGTGTAAATAAATTTAATAGACTGAATATTGTAAATATATACCTTATGTGATGAAAGAACATTGTGACAACAGTTCAAACGGCTAGTTTATTGTTAAAAATTGGTAAAATCCATAAGCACACAGGGGAACCAAGTGTGTGTGTGCCTATATGGCTGTTAAAAATCCATATGTATTTATGAGTCATAATCAAGTGTGGATAAATTATTCGATGTCTATGTATTGCAACCGATGGGAGAATAGATTAAAGTTGATGTGCAGACATGTGCTCAATCAGACTCACACAGAAATTTACATAGTGGATTAAGTGTCTAAATTACGGTGAGCAGAGATAAATAATACAGTAGTGGAATGGGCTTAATACAAAATAAATACGTAAGTTTGCATGTTTCCAAAACAACCAATTAAAACACTAGAAAGCCAAATACCATGGTTGAATGAACTATTTTGCTGATTTGAATATTTAAATGAAATACGAGAGCAGAGTGCATTAATGATTCAAACACATAATTCGGACATTCTTGATATAAAGCTAAATAGCAGATTTCTGATTAATGGACCACGATTTATGGAATTCAAATCATAAAGTTATTTCTAATTATTTTTACATAGCGTATTAACGCTACACTAATAATGGTATGTTTATGTGGGTTCATATAGAGGCAGATAACTCATCTATTAAAAGATTTTGTGAAAATATTTAAAGTCAACTAACTTTATCTCTACAGAAAAAAAAAGTTGTTACATTTATTTACATCAAAATGTTTCATTAAATGACGAAGTTCTTTTCAGTTTCTCATTATTATACAATTAATTCTTATTAATAAGTTGTTTGAAAAGCTATTCAACGATTAATGTGTTACATTTTGTTATGCTTTATTTGATTAGTTAGTTAGTATTGTAGTGAACGAGAACACAAGTGGGGACAATCGAATGTATTTGAATATAAAATTACAGAACATCTTAGTAAAATCTGAGAACCATACAGTATATAATTGATTTGCAAAATGTCAATCAGTCGTGTCAAACTTCATAATAATTTTTTTTATTTCCCAACTAATCATTCTCTGTTCTTGTTCTCTTTCCTTTAATCTTCTTAACCTTCTGCCACCAGACATTTCACTTTTGATTAATGATACATACTACTTATATCTGTCGACATCAGTAGCACAACAAAGTATGTTCCCTGATTCGCATCGATTCTTCAACTGATTACTATCAAAAGTAAGAATTATTTTCAAGCTGTACAAATCCCTACAAACTATTAGTTTATTTTAATTGACTGAAGAGAGTGAGCAACCAAAAAAAAACAATTGATTCCTTATAAAAACCTATAGCATTTATTTTTTCCACTAATATTTTGTATGTATGTTATTTTATTGAAAGAAAACTTGTTCCACTGGGGAACAAGTTCATTCGAGGGCTTAAATTAATAATTCAGTCGTGTGAGCAGCAATTGTTCGGCCACAGTACATCTCATAGTATATCATCTATTGATCAGTATTGTTTTCTTTCATTTTAACAATCGGAAATTTGTTCCCAAAAAAATTCAACTCTATAAAATAAATCAATTAAAATAGATAAAATAAATAATATCTTGGTAAACTAATGAACATTCAGTCAAATAATAACTTACAAATGATTTTAATATAAGCTTTACTGAAGTTTTTTCCATTAATATGAAATTTGTTGTTTTGTTTCAATGTTCCAAGTAAAGTTTCATCAGATAGTTGTGTTGCTTTAATTGAATCATAAACTATATCGGTCACAGCAAACATGGTTTTTTGATCTGATGGAATAAATTGAACAACACTACAATGAGGCCTTTCATAACTTGGCATTTCCTCGGTTGTTACTTGTTCCATAATCTGATTTATTTAAAGCGAATAAACAAAGAAAATGTAATAATAATAATAATAGTATATATATCTTCAGTTTTATTTAAGTATAATATAATAGTCAATTAGACTTGTAATCTAAAATAATTGAGAAATATCAAAAATATTTATTTAAAATTCTGTATTAAAAGTTATTAGAAAGTCCAAAGGATACAAGACTCAATTAATCGTTTCAAAGAAATCAAGGTAATATTACCCTTTTATCGTATGTTCATATTCAGAAGTTTTGTTATTATCTACGGTCATAATTATGATTATATTTTAATAATTACTACTGTAGAAATTACTTCTTAGTCATATTTTCGCTACCGATTGCTTATGTCTGTCATTTAATCAAGTTTTCTGGTTGCGGACTAAGGTTTATATAACTCATTGCTAACTTCTCTTACTGTGAAACAACTCAAGGATGTGTTTTTGAATTATACAGGAAAAAATAATTAAAACTAAACCTAGGTTAATAGTGCTTCTTGTAAATTGTTTGCAGTCATCTGAAGTCAGACAATTCGATGTGATCTCTGGTCACTTAGAATATAAACCATGTTTCAACGTAACAATCAACAGAGTTCGAGGGTTAGGCAATACAATATTGATTGTTGTTCCGTAATCAATCAGTATGAAATTCTTTTCACTGTATATGTGGCAATGAAAGTAAAATTATAGTGTTTTGTTGTTCACTAATAAAAATAAATTTAATTGGTGTAAAATTATTTACTTGAAACTAATGACTTAAATGTGGAAGCGTTAATGCTTTATTGGTGAAAAATAAGGTTATACTATATCCGTACAGTTGTCGATTCGTTGAGACAGTATATGAAAGTAAATATATATAGAACTACCAAGGAAATACCATAACTTATCTATGTTAGAGAATTCCATGTTGACAACGATTAAAAATTGAAAAAGCCATAGAACTAATTTCATCCAAAATGTTTCCACATAGATGAACTGTATCTCAACTTTGAGAGTAGAGAGTTCTCAACAGTGATTTTTCTGGTTTAAAATTATCTTTGTATAAACTGTGTATGACTAGTCATTTAACTATGTTTTTGAATTTAATTTTTGTTTAGATAGGTTTAAGGTTATAAAATATTATCGTTATAAATTCGGTAGATATCTACATTAATCATTGGAATAATTTCCCATTGAGCAATCAATAGTTATCTATTGAGATAATATCTAATCGAAAGATATATTTAGTTGTAATTAATGGTCCGCTGATATTGGAAAATATTATAGTTAAGTGATTATAATATTTAACATCAAAGTTAAGGTGACCCGTAAAAAGTAGTGTCAAACTTTTCTTACAAATTGATAATAAGTATTGGCATAAATTTAGAATTTTTAAGATTATTAATTGATAAATTATATTAAAAATGAATCATAATTGTGTTTTTTTTTCAGTCTTGTAACTTACAAATTTACAACATCTCTTTGCAAAATGTTCATATCTTTGATTTTCTGCAATTCCATTAAATTCCTTTACTGATAAAGGTTCCATTTGATCGTCTGACATTTCTGCTAGTATCCCGAAATGAGTGAATACTAGAAAATTTGAGAAAAATGGGATTCCTTATTAACCATAATACAGTTCATTTTTTCTCGAAACAACAAGCATATAATTCATTAAAAGGGTTAATATCTCTCATACTCTTGATCATTTAACGAGTGATTGACTACATAATATTTGTGTTATGTCCCGATAAGCATAATGAATGATAACTTTTGGGATCCATCTATAGACCGATACTATGCATATATTTTTATCGTATAATTGTTAAATAACTAAACTATTCATATTCATGTCCCTATTATTAGAAGCTTTATTTTGACCTATGAATTATTATTATTATACGATTTACCATTCTTGAATTATGCCCTGTCTATTAATTAATACCTCCCTCATTCTTAATCACTCTTGGCCAAATCTTGTACAAATGTTGTTTCCTATTTTATGGTACGATGTGGTCTGTCTGGTTGGTATATAAACCCAGTATGCTTGAAATAAATGATTCATATTGTAGAGGCTGGGATTGGTGTTCTGGACTTAACTGGCTGGGGTAGGCGGAAAGCAGGATCAACCAGGACTCTAGACTGCTCGCACGTGTTTTATGCGTCATTGGACCGATTGATAATTCATTGCAGTCTAATTGGCGGTATCGTTACGTTTTACATTAACAGAGCACTCAGGCCACAAGTTATAACAATTTGTTTGTTACGTAAAACCATAGAAACTATTCCTTCTAAACTGAATGGTGTCAATAGATACCGAATTTTCTTAAAGTATTGTAATCAAGCAAAAAGCAAGGAGATTTTGGTTAACACTGCTTTTTTATTTGATATCTAGTGATCTTATTTCAAATCGATTATTATTATTTATTTTCAATACTTTAACCTTTGGTTAGGTGATAGTACAGAGATTAGTCCGATTAAAAGATAGTTTTAAATTTGGATCTAAGTCAGATTTAGAACACCAATCAAAACAAAAATGCAATCAACAACTTCAATTTAGTTTGTCACATACTATTGGTGCCTAATCATGGAGCTGGATCCAGAACCTCCAGGTCATGGAGTGAGCAGTTCACGTTTAAATTACTTACTTACTTACTTATGCCTGCTACTCCCAATGAAGCATAGGCCGCAGACCAGCATTCTCCAACCCACTTTGTCCTGGGCCTTTTCTAGTTCCATCCAATTCATGTTCATTTTTCTCATGTCTATTTCTGTTTCCTAGCGTAATGTGTTTTTTGGTCTTCATCTTTTCCTTTGGCCTTGAGGATTCCATGTGGGGGCTTGTCTTGTGACGCAGTTGGGCGCTTTCCTCAATGTGTGTCCTATCCACTTCCAGCGCTTCTTCCTGATTTCTTCCTCCGCTGGGACCTGGTTTGTTCTCTCCCACAGTTGGTTGTTGCTAATAGTGTCCGGCCAATGGATCTGAAGTATTTTGCGTAGACAATTGTTAAAAAACACCTGTATTTTCTAGTTGATGGCTTTCGTAGTTCTCCAGGTTTCTGCCCCATACAGTAGAACTGCCTTGACATTTGTATTGAAAATCCTGACCTTGGTGTTGGTTGACAGTCGCTTTGAGTTCCAGATGTTCTTCAGTTGTAAATATGCTGCTCTTGCTTTGCCGATCCGCGCCTTCACATCTGCATCAGATCCACCGTGTTAATCGATGATGCTGCCCAAATATGTAAAGGTTTTTACATCTTCCAAATCTTCTCCGTCAATTGTGATTGGATTGGTGCATTATGTGTTGTATCGGAGAATTTTGCTTTTCCCTTTGTGTATATTGAGACCTACTGCTGCTGAGGCTGCTACTACACTGGTCGTCTTCTCCTGCATTTGTTGTTGCGTTTGGGATAGAAGGGCCAGATCATCTGCGAAGTCTAGATCGTCTAACTGCATCCTAGATGTCCACTGTATCCCGTGTTGCCCTTCAGATGTTGACGTCTTCATGATCCAGTCGATCACCAGGAGAAAAAGAAAGGGTGAGAGTAAGCAACCTTGCCTGACACCGGTCGAACGACTTTGTCAACTCTCCTCCATGCACGATTTTGCAGTGTAATCCATCATATGAGTTCTGTATGATATTGACTATCTTCTGAGACACGCCGTAGTGTCGAAGAAGTTTCCATAGTGTTGTTCTGTCCACGCTGTCAAATGCTTTTTCTTAGTCAATGAAGTTGATGTAGAGTGATGAATTCCATTCAATTGATTGTTCCTCAATGATCCGTAGAATTGCGATTTGGTCTGTACACGATCTATCCTAACGGAATCCTGCCTGTTGGTCACGAAGTTAGGCGTCTACGCAGTCCTTCATCCTGTTTAACAATACCCTGTTGAAGACTTCTCCCGGTATTGAGAGAAGAGTGATGCCCCTGTAGTTATCACACTTGCTGAGATCGCCTTTCTTCGGTATTTTGATCAGGAGTCCTTTTTTCCAGTCTTTTGGTACTTGTTCCTCATCCCAAATCTTATTGAAGAGAATGTGGAGTATCCTTGCAGTTGCCGCTACGTCTGCTTTTAGTGCCTCTGCTGGAATGTTGTCCCGGAGGGACTCCAGGCGGAGTTTCACGTTTAAATGGTTGGTTCAAAAACTAGTTGGCTATATTTTCAGCTTCAACCATTAGTAACGTACTGAAATTATTTATTAATGTCAAGTAGATCCTCATACTGTGGTTCCTAACATAAGTCTACAGTTGTCGAACTGATACTGTTAAGGAAACAACACTTTGATGCAATGTTTGGCTCTTTTAGTCGTGAGGTTGTTTTTTTCCAGTAAACTATCAATACTATTAAGTATCGATCAGAACGATGCTGAAGAAATATTGACGTGAGAACTTTACAAAAGAGTTGTCATAGCTGTTTATTCATCAAAATAATTGTAGTTTAGATTTAAGGTTGAGCAAATAATACGTGATCATTTAGCAGTAAAAAGTATCATTTTGAATAGTTCTGATAAGTAGTAATTCAGTTTACCCAAAACCGATAATAAATCACTTTCGTGATAATAGAACAGTGTAGAAGAGGTCGTCTGCCGATATCATTCAGTAGAGCTAAATCTTTCTTCTGTTAGTCACTAATGGAATCAGCTGCTTGGCAGCTTCATTGAAGTGTGTCAAACAAATGGATATAATATTACAAAATTAGCTTAGGAAATAAGACTATCCTAACATATATGAAAAGCATTTCGGAAATCGTTGAAAGGAATTTGAAGGACTTCTGTATCAATATATCTCATAATCCTACACAATTAGTTTTATTTTATACAGAATAAAAAAATAACTAAATGAGAGAACGAGTGGGGCATCATCTACATATTAAATCGCATCAGCTGAAAGCACTGTATTAAAATAATGATACACCCTGTTTATCTATGAATGTATGAGTATTAACCAGGAATGAAACCGCACTGGATGTTGTCTGACTCCGGCCCTTACTTGGAATGGGTCTGTCAGCTGTCCTCCATGCACAACTTTGCACTGTAGTCCATCATATGGGCTCCGGATAATATTAACAACCTTCTCAGGAACTCCGTAGTGTCGAAGAAGTTTCCATAATGTCCTACTATCTACACTGTCAAATGCCTTTTCATAATCAATGAAGTTGATGTACAGTGACGAGTTCCACTCAACTGATTATTCGACGACGATCCGTAGTGTGGCAATTTGGTCTGTGCACGACCGATCCTTACGGAATCCAGCTTGTTGATCTCGAAGTTGGGCGTCTACTGCGTCTTTCATCCGGTTCAGCAACACTCAGTTAAAAACTTTCCCTGATATTGACGGTAGTGAAATGCCTCTGTAGTTTTAACATTTGCTCAGATTTCCTTTCTTTGGAATCTTGATGATGTGTCCTTCTCTCCAGTCCATCGGGACTGGATCCTCCTCCCAAATCTTTTTGAATAGAAGGTGAAGCATGTTTGTAGTTACTTCGATGTCTGACTTCAGTGCTTCAGCTGGTATATTGTCGGGTCCTGCTGCTTTCCCGCTCTTGATTTGTCTGATGGCCATTCTGATTTCTTCCGTTGTTGGTGGATTAACATCTATAGGAAAATCTGCGTGTGCTGCTTCGATGTCCGGTGGATTCATTGGAGCCGGCCTATTCAGGAGTTCCTCAAAGTACTCTACTCATCTGTTCCGTTGTTATTGGATTTCAGTGCTTGGCCTGCCTCCTTTGTCTTTGACCGGTCTCTCTGGTTTACTGTATTTCCCTGCTAGTTTCTTCGTTGTATCGTGAAGCTGTTTCACATTTCCTTCTCTTGCAGCTTTTTCTGCCGTCGTTGCTAGTTCTTCCACGTATTTCTTTCTCCTTGTCGGCTCTAATGCTCTTCTTCACTTGCTTGTTTGATTCTATGTATTCAGCTTGTGCTTGGACTTTCTCTGCTCGTGTTTGGCTGTTGTTAATTGCTGTCTTCCTGTTCTTCCTTTCTTTGATCTTGTCCAGTGTTTCTATAGAGGTTCATTCCTTATGATGGTGCTTGTTGAGACCCAGAACCTCTTGACATGTTGAAGTCAATGCTTCTTTGATACCTTTCCAGTTGTCCTCCATAGTAGTTTTTTCTTCATTCAGTAGATCCTGTAAGGCTTGAAACCTGCTGTTGAGAGCCATCTTGAATTCATTGAGTTTGTCAGTATCTCGAAGGAAGGCTGTATTGAACCTTTGTAGTGCTGTTTATTCAGCTGTCAGGTTCTTCTTTAGCTTCACTTTAAAACTGGCCACAACTAGGTGATGATCTGAAGCTATGGCAGCTCTTCTCCTGATTCTCACATTTTCGATTGTCCTCCGGAATTTTTCATTGATGCAAATATGATCTATCTGGTTCTCGGTAGTGTGGTCCGGTGAGATCCATGTAGCTTTGTGTATACGTTTGTGTGGAAATATTGTGCTGCATATGACCAATTTGTTGAATGCACACAGATTTGCAAATCTTTCTCCATTTTTGTTTCTCTCACCCGGTCCATGTCGTCCCATGTTATCTTCATATCCGGTGTTGTCTATTCCAACTTTGGCATTGAAATCTCCCATCAGAATGGTGAGGTCCTTTCTTGGGCATTTCTATATGATTGACTGCAGCCACCCGTAGAATTGATCTTTCTCGTCGTCGTTGCTATCATTGGTGGGTGCATAACATTGGATAATATTCATTGTGATTCCCTCCTTCTTTGTTTTGAATGATGCTTTGATGATTCTGGATCCGTGAGATCCCCATCCTACAAGTGCATTTTGTGCTACTTTGAACAGCATAAGAGCGACTCCCTGAATGTGTGGAGCATTTTCCTCTTCGTGACCGGAGTATAGCAGCATCTCTCCCGTATTTAGCCTTTGTTGTCCAGCTTGGGTCCAATGGGTTTCACTGATTCCCAGTACTGCTAAGTTGTATCTCCTCATTTCCGTTGCTATTTGACTGGTCTTCCCGGTCTTCCACATTGTTCGGACGTTTCATGTACCTATAAAAATTTTTGCTCTGGTTGTTAGAAGGGGCATCGACCTCGTGGCTTCCGAAGGAACTCGGCTTTCACCATGAAGCGTCATAATTCTTGTAAATGGAGACCTTCTGACTCTCAGGGTAGAGTTTAAATGGTTTGAATTATTTTTTCTGGTAAGCGTTTTTTTAGCGAGTTGGTTTTCTACGGGATGGGGACGCTAACCCCATGCCCAACCCTCCTCCTTTACCCGGTCTTGGGACCGGCAGTAACTCTAGAAGAGCTACAGTCGGAGTTCTCAATTTCCCAGTTATACTATAATTAACAAATCGGGTGGAAGATGATAATGATTTGCCTTCATACTCGATAAGATTATAGAGAAGAAATGGAAAATTCAGAAAGGATGTTTAAGCTGTAGAATTAACAATTATGATGTGATTTACTTTGTATTGTTTGTTTGAATCTTCTCATTGATGTTTAAGTCTCTAATTGATCAGTCTATTATTAGAATATGTGCATCCTGTAGGGATTATCTTGATATTGCCTTAAGTCACAAGCATTATAAGCAAAGATTCAAACAAACAATACAAAATAAATTTAAACTTCACTCCATTGCGCAAATTAGTGGCTATCATGACTCAGTGGTTAAGTGGATAGCGCGACGGCGTTTGAAGCAAACGGTACTGAGTTCGAGTTCCTGAGTAAACATAAACTCTGAGATGCAGGTACGTTTATCTGACAAGTCTTAAATAGGACGAAACGCGCGTCCCGGATTTCACTACTAGCCACCATCCATCTTTGCTAATTATGATATGAAGTTATGACAACCATAACTTAATTTACATGTTAAAAATATGACTTAATTGTACTTCATCGATAAGTTAATTTAAACTCTGGGTTTATAATTTATGTAATCATAAGAAATATTATTAGATATCTCAAAGTTCCATAGAAATTTGAACTATATTTTACAAAATAATATAACTTACGCGGAGTAGTTGTTTTCACAATTTCGGTACAACTTTGTGGTCCTTCGGAAATGGTACATTCTTTGTTTCTGAAGTCTGCGCTGTGATAAAACTTTCCTACTTTTGTAATTTTTGGCGACACTTTTAAAGATCCTATAGACATAAGTGTGTACGTAAAGTAAAAACCTGACCAATAAAATCTTTTGGTAAATATTTATTCTTTACAAATCGAAAATAATTGAGGATTGAAGTTAGGTTCTGGGTTCGGATCCCGCAGGGTTCGGGATCGTGGGCGCGCACTGCTGAGGAGTCCCATACCAGGACGAAACGGCCGTCCAGTGCTTCCAGGTTTTCCATGGTGGTCTAGCTTCAATTGACTCATGATTTCAACCAGTGAGGAACTGCTTATCTCAACATTCGTGAAAAAGCACGAATATTGGTTGGATTGTAAATACAACAATTTTTTACAATTATTAGTAGGCGCAGGAAAAACTATATACATTCAGACTACTCTTGTGTTTTTAAGTGTCTCTTTTCATTATATTTAAGTTCATTATTAAATCATTTAACACACCGAACACAACACTTGGGTCATAAAATTGACTTCAGTCATAATTGTGAAATTTGATCACCAAGTTCAATGACGAATATAAGCATGATTACCAAAACTTGATTTAAACTTTCTATGTCAACTAGGTCACTGGGAAAAAACGGTAGGATGTTGGTTGATTATATCTGTAAAAACTATAATGATGCACCAAATACATAGCGGTACACGAATATTGTTAATTGTAAGATGTATTCATACGTTTGACTGCCAAATAGAATCAGATAATAATTTGGAGTTAGTTACAAATTAGTTAGAATTATACGTTGTAATAATCTGAGAATTCCATACTGTGATGAAAAGGCCATTCAGTGCTTCTAGCTTTTTAGTACTGGTCTAACTTAGATCAGTTCATGACTTCTACGAAATTCAACAAACTCCACAACTCCATACCGAAAAATAATATCATCTTAAAATTAGCAATCGTATTATATCGATTACTAAGTCTCATTCATAATATCAAATAATGATCATTTTACATTTAGAACAGATAATTACCTGAAGTCAACTGTTCACTACTTGAGTTAGAGCGAACGGACAACATACCGATCATTTGATGTCCGAGTATGTAATAGAATAAGATAGCAAAATAAAACTTCATAATTAGTTTCTTATAAAGGTGTTTTCTTTTTCAGTAAATATGGGTATCCTTTAGTCACCTATTTGAGAATAACGAGGAATAAGTGAAAAAAAGATAGAAATGGTTTAATTTATTCAAACAAATACGTGTTTAGTTAAATACATCGAAATTTAATGTAATGTCAAAATTTATAGCAACATTATATGAACCAAATTTAATGTCATTAAATTTTTCTTTTATATTTAATTTCATGACAAAGGAATAGACTAATATTTTAGTATTACTCTATCCATTTTCAGTATCGGGTTGTGGAGATATTACGTTTTTTATTGAGATCATGAACTGATTGATGTTAGACCACCATTGAAGACCTGGAAGCACTGGACGGCCGTTTCGTCCTATTGTAGGACTCCTCAAAAGTGCGCATCCATAATCCATGTTATTTGTCATATATTGTTCTCCTAGAATTATAGGTCCCTATTATGATATCGATTGTGAAAAGATTAACTATTCATGACTCGTTTATATTATTCAGTGCAGTTCATTCTTTTCTATTGTATAAATTTTATATATATTTCTTTAATAATATAGTGTAATTGTTCTCTATAGTACTAACTTAAATAGTAATGCTTTAAAAATAAAGGAAGAATTGATCAATGCATGATTATCTCATAGCTAATAATGTAATACTTAAATATAAATATGATTGTACATGATTGAAAATGAATCCATTATAAACATAGCGGCCTGCTTGAATCTCTGGGCTACCTGTTTCTGCCATCTAAATATTTCAACAAGTCATCTGTTTTTTATTTTGTTTTAATACCTCATTATGTCTATTAATCACATAGCCTATACAGGTGCGTTTATGAAAAGTTTACAACCTTTCGCTGCACAAATTACAAAAATGTACAATAAGAGACATCGTGGTGGTTGATAGTGTGTACTGAAGAGAATGAACATTAATCGTATGACGATTCCCGAGCTGCTATATTTTAACTGTCAATCACTAATTAATAAGGTGGACTATCTTCAATTCTTACTAAGTCAAAACATGTATCATAATTATGGTGTCATCACAATTCAGGAATCTTGAAAAAATTGTTTAAATGAATTGATTGTTCTATGATTTAATCGGTATTTCCAAATGTTAAAAAACCTATTGATCAATAGCATAATTCTCAATAAACTGATAATTAGGTTAATGAAAATCATAGTGATTTAATTAATTAATTAATTAATATTCATGGCAGTTCTTCATTCTTAAATAACAAAATACAATACCTTGAATGTTCTACATTTATTTTATTTTACAATGTCTTACAGTTAGTTATACTGTAATAAAGTTATAATTATATATTTTAAGCAAGTAATTAATAATATATACGATTCCTATTATTCATATTACCTTTCTTGTATTTACTTTTACACTTGCATTCTTAATACTGTTGGATAATATTATTTAAGTTGGAATTTCTGGTATTTTCAGGCTATCTCTTTCAAAATTTATTCTTTACACTGTAACTAATACTTAAAAAGTTGATTTTTATGATGATCTAGAATCAACTTCTAATAGAAGATATTTAAAAATAGGTCAAATAATTTTTGTTCATCAAGGTGTTTTTGTTTATCATTATTATAATACGAATAGTCTGTCTAGTAGGGTAAGTGAATGTTGGTGATATCGACTCAAAGAAAAATAAGTAAGCATTATTTTTCAGAACAAAACAGCATTATAAACAAACATACATTCACTCTTTTGGCAAGAGAATGGAAGTTACAAACTTTTGAATACTTTAATGTCTAGTTATTAGTTTCACTACTTAGTTAATCACTAAATCCGTTAAATCCACAAGGTTAGTTATTTAAGCGGAAATTAGTTTTCTGATTAATCACCAGCTGTAAATGCGATTAAATTAGTTAAGTTATGATATGTGTTATATCCGAGTAGAGATTAAATCACAGGTAACTCCCGAGGACTATTCATGGACTAATATTCTATAAATATTCTTATTGTATAACTACTCGACAATTACACTATGTATATTTATATCCCTCTTATGACAAGCTTTATTTTGATCTATAATTTATTATTGTACGATTTACGGTTCTTAAGTTATGTTCAGTTTATTAACTACTGCCTCCCACATTCACAGCCACTTCTTGGGCTTATTTGTGTACAAATATTATTTCCTATTTTATGGTACGTTGCGGTCTGTATGATTGATATATAAACCAAGTATGCCTGAAATAAACGATCTGCTCTGATTCAGAAGCTGGTATCTTGTTCTGGACTCAAGTGGAAGGGCTCGTAGGACATAGGACCAATAAGGACGCTAAACTGCCCACACAGCTTGGACGTCATTGGTTGGCCTAGTGTGAGGATTCGTATAAGTCGTATTCGGATTGGTAGATAAGTCGTGTGATCGGAAAGTCAGACATTCAAGGTCATAACAATATGTACTGCATCTTTCTCTGACAATTGAGTTAAAATGTATCATGATATGTTCATTTCTTTGATAAGCTGAATTTAGAAAGTATGTTTAGATATGTCACAGATTAACATTGAATAAATATGTTTCACTTAAATGAGCCGTTACAAATTTCCCAATCGCCTTTTAACTAATTACAATCACTGACACTGAACTCTTATACGTAACTATGTTCCGATATCCATTCAAAAGGTAGGGGAATTCAAAAGAGTGCACATTCATAGGGGCGAGATTCAAAAAGGCGCATAATAATAAATGTGAGCATTGAAAGGGTGAATAACACTCTCAGTGATGTGAAATATATTTGATTTCCGGTCTATCCCTCTGCCCTATGACCAACGAAATATAGTTTTATAAACGTATAGTGGGGAGTCTGCTTTCAACAAATACTGTAATTCTTTGATTTTGGTAACCAACAGTTATCCATATTACCTTAGTCATGTTATCTCGTTCGTCTATTTCAACCAACTGGGGGATAGTCCTTTTAGAGGGATGTTTGAAAAAAAAAATGCTAAAGACATCCTTTTCTTTATAATGATAAAGATATTCATGGTATACTTCATTACATGTATTCCCAAAAGCTATGTCGTTTGTGCTCTCCAGCGAAAGTTATATTCTGTCAGTTACTGAAGTACGTGGTAATAAAAGTCAAATGACCAGGTTTTATTTAATATTACGTAGATGAATAAGTAATGAACACGTCCCACCCATCCATTACACTGTTTTTCTAGGAAAGTCTTCCAAAATAAAGGGTAAATCGAACATATTTCACAACATTAAAAAGGTTATTCCTCCTTTCAGTGCTCACGTTCATTAACATGCGCCATTTCGACAACCGCCCTCATTAATGTGCCTCATTCTCACTCCATTTTAATAGTCGTCCCTATTGGTGTAAACCTTACATTCCACTTAAAATCGAATTCAATTCTTTATCTTATTTTACTGTTATTAGCACAAATGTATCATTACTTCATTATTACTATTATTAGTATTTATATTGTTATTACTATTATCCATACAACAGCTCTTGTTCTTCTTATATTAATCTAATATTATGAATCCTAACTTGAAAAAAATGGTGAAATCGACTACGATGTTAGGACGAGTAAAGCCCATAAAGTTAGTTTGAATGACTAAAAATTTTATTATCCGTGATTAGAAGCACCTAACTGTCAGTTACTTTTTGTTGATGTAATGACTCAATTATTAAAATAATACCTATATAGTAATATATACTCTAATTAAAACCTCTATTAAGATTATACGCCGTAAGAACATTAATTTTCACTAATCACTAATAAGATTGATGTAATTCAAACATTTTATAAGTAACTGACTACTCGTTCTGGTTCCAGTTCAGAAGTACAAAAGAGAACTAATTCAAAGTAATTAAATGATAGTCAAAAATTGGTTAATGGTAGCTAAAGTAATCAGTTACTTTCCTAGTGAACTAACTTTAAATAAAGATAACAAAAATACAATGAGCACTTTAGATTACTCCATTCATCAAGTAAAAAAAAAATAATCGTACATAAGTAATCTCAATGTCGGTGTCATATTCTGTTGTTCAAATATTAAATGAACAAAAGATGGAATATTCTCTTAATGATTTCTTAACTTTAATGAAGTATAGTCAATTTAATCGTTTAAGAATGACATCAAAAGCTGTTTATCATCATAATGATGCTTTATTGAATTTGATGAATTCAAGCACAATTTCAACTAAGCTATGCATTGAAATTAATACAACTAACTAATAATTGAATTTGAATGATACAACATCATTGTATGCATTGCATAATAAAGATAGAAATTTAATAAACTTTAACAAGTAATATATGCATAATTTACTAAATAATCTACTAAACTCATATTCTTCTACCATTTAATTCATTTTTAGAAAACTTTCAATCATGTTTACTTTCTATTAAGATGTTTTGTATATATGATTTTAGTAGAATAAATAATTTTTATACTGATTAGTAAATTGTAAAGTTGGTTCAATTTAGTGAAATGATTTGGTGAATTTGAATTCAGGGATTTATTTTTACCTATTCATTTCGTATATCATCATACTTATATTTCTTTGTTATTGTATTCCTTTAAAATATTGATTTTGTCCCGCTTTGAAATTAATCAAATGATATATAACATTTGGATCTTAATATATTCAATGTAAGAACATTGATTTGTGAAAGAAATCACTGATAGGTGTTTTATGTCTTTATAGTCAAACTAAAATAAACAGTTGAATGAAACTTAATCAACTAACTTGTCACCAGAAATTCCTTTTTTTTAATTTTATTTTATCAATGTAGATATTTTTTCCAAGGTCAGGATTTTCAATACAAATGTCAAGGCAGTTCTACTATATGAGGCGGAAACCTGGAGAACTAGGAAAGCTATCATCCAGAAAATACAGGTGTTTATTAACAGTTGTCTACGCAAAATACTTCAGATCCATTGGCCGGACACTATTAGTAATAACCTACTGTGGGAGAGAACAAACCAGATTCCAGCTGAGGAAGAAATTAGGAAGAAGCGCTGGAAGTGGATAGGACACACATTGACGAAATTATCCAACTATATCACAAGACAAGCCCTCACATGGAATCCTCGAAGCCAAAGGAAAATATGAAGACCAAAAAACACATTACGCCGGGAAATGGAAATAGACATGAGAAAAATGAACAAGAATTGGATGGAATTAGAAAGAAAGGCATAGGATGGAGTGGGTTGGAGAATGCTGGTCTGCGGCCTATGCTCCATTAGGAGTAACAGGTGTAAGTAAGTAAGATATTTTTTCAACTGTCATAAGACTTGATAGTTAGATAGATAGAAATAAAATTATTAACTCCAAAAAAAGAAAAGAAAAAATAATTTTATCTGTAAACATGCATAAAATTCATGATAAATTTGATAAACTTCAATCAAAAAAAGACACCATAGTTTAACATAATTTTTCACTGAATATTCCGAAAAAAAGACCTTGACAACAACAGAAATATCTTCTAATTTCTTTTTAGAAACACTATCAATACATATTGTGAACTATATTGATTTTTAGAAATAAATACACATTTATCATTAAAAAATAAAACAAAACAAAAAAAATTATCTCACTTGGTAACAAAGATTTCCTTTAATCTGTTGTATTGAATTAATAAACTAGAAAATCTGTTTTCTTCCTACTTGTAATTAACAAAATACTAAATGGTAAAGATGAAGCATGTTGACTTTTTATATTTTATATGTTGCTAATAAGCTTAAGTTTATGATTGGACTAAATTAATTGTCTACTAATATAACTGAGTTGAAAAGGTGAGATGTTAATTATACTTTGTTTATTCATTTTCATTAAATAATAATAATAAAAGAAGATACCTAAACTTAATTCACTAATTAACATTGTTTATTTGTTAATATCAAGTGATTCTAATGATAGAATTCATGTGATTTAGATCTGATATTATTTAAGTAGTATTTTTTATTATCAAAGTTTATTATTTTTGTTTTTGAAGCACTTATAACTAGCTCATTGATAAACTGGATGGAACTAAAGAATTTCAATGAGATTAGTAACGTCTGGTTAATGATTGGCATTAATATATAGATAAAATTCATTAATTAATTCATAAAGAAATAGTTTGGTTTTTCTAAATTAAAACTTGGCATAATTTAGGATAAGAAGATAAGTCCATAAAGAAATAAACATAATATTGACTTAGAAAACTGATTTAAAATATCACCAGTTTATTTTGGAAATATGAATCATAATATTTTGGTGATAATTTCTGCTTCGACAAAATGTTTAGATTATATTTAGACAAATTCAATCTTCATTTGTTGTAGAGTATTCACAGATGAAATAATTGAAGTGACAATTTTACAGTCTTATTCATTTTGTCTTTCACAGAAAAAATTTACTGAAAAAATTATTCTAAAATATTTTCAGGAAGGGTATTTTGTTGAAACTGTAGTAATTTACTAGTTGAATTCATAGATCTATTAAAGATAGATCACCATGGAAAATCTGGAAGCACTGGACAACCGTTTCATCTTGACATCCTGAGCATCTAGGATCCCGCCCGCGGGATTCAAACCCACGACCTTAGGTTTCGCGTGCGAACTCTTAACCTTTAGACCACTGAACTGAGCAGCATCCAATGGTGTTAATGATTAACTTCAACCAATCCATGAAATCACGCTACCGTTTATTTCAAGACATTTAGCTGAATTTCGCTATGTGACACAAAACCCTCCATTATCCCTTTAAAACTTATTATATACTAATGTTTTCAACAACTCATACACGTGGAAGAAGTATACTGAAACTTGGCATCTGTGTGAAACGTAAAATTAATTAGAACAGTAGAGTCTAAAGGTCGTACGAATTTCGACAAATGTTCTGATTGAACGCTTGATTCGGTTTCCTAAGCTCTTCTAGTAACTCCCAGACTAAATCTTTACAGCAACTTGAACACGAGAGAAAAGATGTGAAATATGGAAAGAACGCTATACTTCAAAGTTAGTTTATCTACAGAAAATCGAGGGTGCTTCTAGCATTTTAGATGATCTTTGACTTTTGGAAGGTCCTGAAAGCCTTCTAAATATAGTATCAAGATAGGTAATCATCCAGTCAGAAGTGTGGCATGTGACTTTTCACTTTCTAGATGTCTTAGGGAAGCATCTAATGAATGGTGATTAGATAAGATGTTTTCCATCGTTCTCAGGGTGCTACTGGGCTTTTTTGAGGGATTTTCTGGGTCTCCCCAACAATTTTGTTGTCACATTTGGTATACCGAGTGATAGTCAAATTTCAAGCTGAATAGATAAATAAAACGATAGAACTGGACAAAAATATGCACATTTTGAAAAGGGTTCAAATCACCAACATTATAATTGATAATTAAAATAAATTAACAAAATAAGCAAGTTAAAAAAGGAGTTGTTTCAAGAGCGATCTATGTAGTTTGTGCAAATACTTTATCATTAAGCGAATGGTGAGTAGTAAAGAGTAACTGAAATTTCAATGACTTTTAAGAAGTTGAGTAAGTACAATAACTTGTAGGCGTTCGGTAGATTATTTCTGATATTTATGTTATCTCATTAGTTTACTATAGGTATATAATTATTTCTATTATTAAAAACACAACAGTTATTTCATATTAAAAGGTTCATAATAAGTATACATAAAATTTTATTCTGGTACAAGTAACAATTATAAAGTTAGAGTATCGCAAGAGGGACAATAAGCCGATTTCTTTGTAATCTCATATATCCATATATGAAGATTTTCCATAAGACGATGAAATTTCAGGTTAAAAGAGTAAAAACAATGTCTAAGATGAACTTCCAAATCATTCGATAACTTCAAAATACTTGAAAAAATGTAATAGTCCAAGTTCAACATAAGCGTGGGCGGAGTTAAACTGACTTTAGTGAGACAGAAGTTCAATAGAGAATCACAGTACTACAAAAAATTAAGAGAACTATCTTCCCCCCTCCTTTAAAGATTATTGATCATTTAATGATAACTAAAATCTAATCTCTAGCCACATTATTATCTCACTTACATACTTTATGTTTATAAGCATCAACATAGTTTTATTTAATTATTTTAAATTCATTGGTTGAAAAAAATTATCCTTCATTATGATCATCACATAAATACAAATTAGCTATTTTTATTCTATTTAAGGTTTCCGGTATTAAGAAAATATAGGTCATTAAAATAGTGGATAATTTCACTCTTTCTATTTTCGATGTAATTTAATAAAACTAATGAATACAATGGTGAATATTATGACTAGTGGTCGATGAATGGTGACTAATAGTGGAACCCAGAATGCATGTCTCATCTTATTTGGGACTCGTTAACCGGATTTATGTGATGATTAGAAGTATTTGAATTATTGTACGAACTAGGAATCCAAGAAATAGTGCAGTTTATGGCACGTAGAACTAGGTGAGTACAAACAAACGTATTATATTTAGAATTCAAAACCAAGCAGTCATCAAGTACAAAAGAATCATTAGTTCATACAAACACCACACTGTACCTGAAACTAAGAGTTGATTTTCACTCTGGGACTCGAAAGAGATCAATCAACTACAGTTCTAAACATCAATCGGAAGATTCAACTAACAAATACAAAGGAGTTAAAGTGCTATGTTTGACGCGATTACAAGTTCACTTAGTCGGAGAATGGAACAAAGACTCTGCGATAAAAGATCAATAAGGTAGCTATTCTGACGCGTCCCAGCCCTGCTAGCTAGAGAGAGGTCCAAGTTCGAAACGGGGAAATATATTCCGCAAGCAGACAGAAGCACGAGCAATAACAGCAGGCACAAAGCAACGTATATATGCAGCATAAAATTTTCCTTGGGAAGCGTTACAAAATAACATACTAAAATATACAACGAACCAATAGCGTTTGTGTTGTAACGGGTGTGACTGCACGTTTTTGATAAGCAGCGTTATTTATCGATCGCGATCTGTGACAGTGGACACGTAAACATGTAAGGACGACCTAGTGCCCTGATTGGCCCTGCTTCGCTGTCTGTCCTAGCCAGTTGAGTAAGAACACAAGTCACAGCCTCTGGGTTATGAATCATTGTATTTCAAACATACTCTATTTATATACCAAGCAAACAAACCACATCGTACCATAAAATAGGAAACAACATTTGTACAATATTTAACAAGTGAAATAAACATCGACCAATAAGAAATGTACATTTAAGGTTCAAGGACACCATTGGACTTAACATGATAATTATTGGTCTCTTTTTCCGACTATCCTAACAGTTTGAAATCCTTCCAAGTAGGAAATAAGACATGAAGGTGAAAATGAGCGCTTTTGGCACGAAAACAAGAAATTAAAGTTTTTAAAGTAAAATTACAGAAATAAGGTTGTATCTCTTCATTTCTGCAGCAATTTGGAAGACTCTCCCTGTCTCCCACATTGTACGAGCATTCCATGTACCTAAATTATTGGTTGCTCTTGTTGTCAGAAAGGGTATCAGCCTCGTGACTTCGGAAAGAACTCGGCTTTCATCGTGAGACGTCGTAACTCTTTTAAATAGAAACCTTCTAACTCCCAGGGTAGAGTTTAGATGGTTTGAACTAGTTTTTCTGGTTAGCGTTTTTTTAGCGAGTTAGTTTTCTACGGGATGGAGTTGCTAACCCCATAACCAACCCTCCTCCTTTTTCCGGGCTTGGGACCGGCAGTAGCCCCAGAGGAGCTCCAGGTGACCGAATATTTCAAGTTAGTTTTCAGTATCACTGAACCGGTTCTATGTGCCCAATCATATTGGTATAGTAGGTGACATTATCACGATAAACCCCAAATTAGTAGAATTAATAACATTACCAACGGTAATAGAAAACATAGTTTGAAAATGCAGGATCAATGAAATCTGAGACAATTGACTGATATTTGAAAAGGAGACAATTGATTGATATTTTACAAATAAAGTATTTACTGTATGGTTCTCAGATTTTACTAAGATGTTCTGTAATTTTGTATTAAAATACATTCGATTGTCCCCACTTGTGTTCTTGTTCACTACAATATTATTATATAGGCTAAATGAGAGTAAAGATGACGGCCATCGTTCTGTGTGAACATGATTGTTTACCTATTCAAAATCTGTAATAGTAAACGTTCGATTTTTTGTTTTATCCAGTAGTTTATGGAGAATCGTTTAATTTGAAGACAGCTGTTGTACACTTAATTAGAACTTTTCGGCATTGCCATTCAAGACTTAGTGCTAAGTTAAATTGATTACCTGCACATCTTGTAATAGACAAAATACCTTTAGAATAGTGAGGTGGTAAATAGTAGTCAACATTTTTAAGCTATAATAAATTTGATATGGTGCGATTCTTATTCAATGTTATCAAACGTTTCTTGATTGATTCCCGATTTGTTGGAACATGTATTGCGTATACCCGACCACTGTCTACCTAAACATATGATGTTTGTTCGTGTAGGGGTAGGACAGAAGAAACCTATAGGAGACTAAACAGAGCTGCGAAATAATTTCATACAGTCAGTGACTTGTAGATAAGGCCTTATTGATAAGTACTAACTACGTGGTTGAAGTCCTAGCGATTATCGTGGCCAATGATTGTAGATGATGGTGATGTGGCTCAAATACATTCCCCTCATTCACTCTTTCTTCTGGAATCAGATGGTTCAAGCTCAATGTTTCTACAATCACTGATGCTATTACGACTACCACTACTCTAGCCTCTATTTTGGCAATTTCACCTCGCTGTGTTGAAATAGTGGGATAATATGAATCAATATAAATATGTACCAGGTTTTAAGTTGTTTATGATCAGGTGATTGTTATGTTAGAACTCTCTGCAAAGAATCTATCTGAAGATTAATTTTTCTAGTAAACTTATCAGTGATATTCACCAAATCACTTTTATCTGAAATCTTGTAAAATTTAAAAATACATCTCACCGCCAAAAGACATTAAATGTGAAGAAGCATTATCTTGAAATGAAACAACCGTAACTACTCCAAATATTAAACAAATGAAAATATATTATTTTGAAACAAGCATTAACTGTAATATTAACACATAAAAACGTTTAATTAGATTAATTACGTTTTTAGTAAATTAATTAAATGACAATGTGTCTTTTTTGTTTAAAGTTCTTACACTAAGTGACTGAAGAAGGAGAAGAAGGAGAAGAAGAAGAAGAAGAAGAGGATAAACCAGCATACAACAAACACTAAATCTTTAAATATTGAAGATTAAAAAAAACATTTTGAACAATTTTGATAGAGAAATTAGTTTTAAAAGAGAAGAAAAATACAAATACGAAATATTATCTTTGCATACAGTTTTCCAATTAGACGTTTTTAACATTAACAAGAAGAATGGACTAGTAGGTGCATAAATGAATAAACGTAAAAAAAACTTCGTACACAAATTCTAATACATCGTTCACAAGATTTATATATATATAACTTTAGTATTGTAAATACTAAAAGTAAATAGGTAAATGAACCATGGTTTTGTTGTTGTTGCTACTGACACATACATGAGTACATAAAATGCAATTGCCCTGTACAAAACTTTATTGCTTACACTTTCCTTTTCAGTAATTCTACTAGTTTAAATAATTGTAAACGAATAAACATTAGTGATAGTTTACACAATAACTATTTGTTTACTAATTATGTTCTCTATAAAATGTTGATTATATTTCTATTATAGGTTCAGTATTGTTAAGTGGTTAAATAAGAATGAGGATGGTATTTCACAAAAAACCTTATTGTAAATGAATGTCATTTAAGTTGGATGATAGATATATAACTTTTTTTATTGTCCACGTTTTTCACTGAATAAACAAAGCAAGTAAATAAATGGATATCATAAAAACATCATGAAATAATATTGTCAATATATTCAACACATTAAACACGATGTAATATTACATTCAGGGAACAGTTTGCCTTTTCACATAGACATCTACAAGTATTCCATTCATCGCAATATATATATATATATATATATATATATATATATATATTGTATCAAAGATGAACAGTTTTCAGCGAAGACTTGACCTACATACCTAAGACTGTACTATTGATTTAGTCGATAATAACGTGAACATTGTTAATGACAACAAATATGTGGATAATAATAGTAATGGTGATGATTTACAAAATGTCTTTTTTTCATTAAAATGGTAATAATGACTATTATGTTAGAGGACGTAAAACACAAAAAGACGGTAAAAGTATTTGCATATAGAAAAACAACTTTTGTCCCGAAGCTGATAATAGTAGTAATGTGAAACGACTGTATTAAATACTAATGACTACAAAAAAAGTAAAACAAAATACCTTTGTTGCATAAATAAAGATGCATGAAAGAACAACGGTATCTCAAGAGTTTATAGTGTTTTAGCTTATGTATCTAATTGTGTATAAAAGAAATATCAGCACAAAATGTTTGTTCATACCCATATTATTGATTGCTGATCGTTTAGAACAGTTTGGAAATAATCCCTCTTTAGATTAAATGACAAGTGAAATAGACAAGCAGTTTACACAGATAATTAAAAGAAGAATATAAAGGAAAAATATAGGTAGACAAAAGAAGATTAAACCATTTACGAAGATAATGGAATATATAACAAAATAAATGGAAAGAATATATATTGCAAAAATATTTGGTATTGGGATTTATGTATTCCGTTTAATTCAAAACAATACAATTCGTGAATTTCAAGAAATCACTTCAAATAAAAAAGCATCACTTAGATATTTATCCATTGAAAACTTACGAAAACTTAAAATCTCATTCAACCAGTTACTAATTTCATATTTATGAATATAATATTACAGATCAACTTGTACCAGAGAGAGTTATTTGTGGGTTTTGTTCATTCATTGATTGTGTAACTGATAGAGTACCATTGAGTACAGAAACAGGATTTGTATATGACTGACTCAATAAATTCATTACCGTTGCCGATTGTGAAGTTGCATTAGTTGTCGGTTGTGATTGTGATAAAGCTGATGTTGAAATTAATGGTATTTGTAAACCAAAATTATATAAACCTGCTAGTGGTGACAAAGAGTTTAACGATTGTCCAATAGTAGAAGAAGATGAACAGTTTTGTTCTAATTCATTACTGCAATTGTTTAATGATTGTTGCAGTCCAATAATTTGTGGTATAGCATTGCTATTGACGGTACTTAATCCATTTGGTCCAACCAACATAGCTGTTGCAGCAGCGGTTGAAATGGAATTTGGATCAAAATAATAAGTAGGTTGATTGTTAAATGTTGCATTAATAAGTCCACCATTTCCTAATGTTCCATTTGAAAATAACTGTGTTGAATAATCAAACGCATTATTGATTATGGTTCCAGCAGTACATTCATTTTGTAGATTAACATTATTATTATTATTGGTTAAATTACCCGTTACATTTGCTAAACCAGTAGTATTTATAGGAAAATTTGTTGTACCAGATAATTGTAGAACATTTGTTTGAGATTGTAATAAATTCAGTGGAGTTGATGTATTTGGTAAATTGTTTGATAATGGTAATGGCATAAATGCTGCATTTGTATGCATTACACTTGGATTAATTGGCAGTGCATAACTAGCTGTGAATGCTAATTATCAAATAAATAAATAAAAGACAAAATTCAATTTAATATTTTTTTAAAGAAATGATATTAATTGATGATTTAAAACCTCAGAAACATGAAATGAATTTGTGGAAGATAATTTTGTTCTGAAAAATTAACACTTGAAGTTTGATAAGTTGACTGTAATTGTGGTGGACTAATGGTCTTTGTTATAAATGCGGAGTATAATGGATTATAAGCTAGGTTACATGAATTCAAGTTCATTGCTGTCACGGTAGAGATAGTCGGATCTAAGTTGTCTGGACTCGATTTTTTAAAAATACATGTAATGTATTTGATTCATTAGTTTCTAATATATTTTGTGACAAAAGTTTTGAAGGTAAACGCTCACTACCATTCATAATGGACAAGTTACGAGAGCAAAATATATCATTTGATTTAGGTGTTTGGTGTTGTTGTGTAAACAACATGTATAGTGGTGGCAAAACCGTATGTGTAACTGTGAGTCTACCGCTCTCACTGCTGTCAACTTTAATTCTATGTCTCGAAGATGACCCTAAAATGATGCAATACAAGTTTGATAATGATTTAAAACTAGATTCTATAATCGAAACTGAAGACTTCCAGAAGCCTTACATTCTAAACTGAAAACAGTTTAACGAGGAAGTTTCTAATACCACCGTTCTGTCATGAAGAACGTAGCTAATATAACATAAAAAGATTGTTGGCGTCCAAATCTACACCCCATCTTCGATTTAATCCGATAATCGGTATTGTGGCTACCACATAACATTTTTGGATAATGTATAACTGAAGGTTTTTATTATAAATAACATTAGGATTAAAAGCCTAGCTTATCCCATCATTGAATGACTGTGACACCAATTAGTTTTATGAATATAAGTATGCTACTCACAAGTAGTCTGGAATTCCATCAAAGTATTCTGCAAACGCTCTAATTTTATGACCTTTAGAGTATCAAAGTCGAATAAGTGATTATTTTATCAACGAGAATTAGAAGATGAAATAGAAAAAGGAACTATATAAAAATAAATTTTGAGGTTGTCAGAAAGTGGAAAGAATACTGCAATCAAGTCATTTCATACATTTCGGCTACAATTATTGTTTTCCTTTGATGAAATATGAAATGATTAAGAATCATATGGTAAAACACTATTGTATAAATGAGTTTCATGGTAACGAGCAATTTAAACTAATGTGTAAAGGTGAAATATTTAAAAGAAATTAAAGCGCAAAACCAAAACCTTAACTGTTTTCAGAAATGTAGTTGATGAACTTAACAAAACTTAGGTGAAATAAGTTATTTCATTTTGGTGGAGTTTTGTTCTCTGAGCTGGATGGTTTGGTCAGAGAACAAAACTCCACCAAAATCATCCACCTGAGCTACAAATCTTCTCCACCATCTCAAAATCATATGAGCGTAATACGCTTCTCGTTGTTCGAAAATCGGAGAATTTCGCCAAAAGGCAGGCTTCCACTCGAGAACAACTATATTTTCTCCACACGACCAAACCATCCAGCTCAGAGAACAAAACTCCACCAAAATGATCCACCTGAGCTACAAATCTTCTCCACCATCTCAAAGTTATTTCATGTTGTGCTAAAACTATCTATTTATTTGAAAATACATATAAAGATAAAAAATGCATGTTATGACGATAACACAAAAATTAACCCTGTAATATATTATAACACTACATTACAGGTACATAATATGTTTCTATAATCTGAAGGGAGCTGGTACTTTGAGAAATTCAGTTTTAAGTCACTTAGCATCGTAATCAGAGATAACAACATTAAGATTTTCAACCAGTAACTAAGCTTTTGTTGCACTGATATTCGTCTATTTATGGATAATAGAACTTTACAATCAATTTTCTTAATGATCTATTTCATTCGTAAGTGTTATAAACATTTAGTAATATTGGTTCCAGGAGTTTAGAGGTGATCTATGGGAAGCTGTGGACCTAGGTTACTTGCTGTTAGAAACTTATGAGCAAGAACTGCTTATGATCTTGATGAAATCAGTGTTTACACTAATGAAATATTTCCGCTAAATGACTTGTAACTATCACACAACCTACTCGTTGTTTTTTGAATGATCAGATTATTATTATAATTTATGCGACTTGTAAGCGATCATTGAAGTTAACTGTTATAATGTTAACATAATTTACATTTTATGTGTTATGATTCTTAAGTATAGAATTTCACTTATTATTTAAGTGTGTTGATGGATTATATCGAGTTACCTGAAAATATTTGAATTTAGTTCTGTTTAGAATTATTGAATAAATGCTGTATGTTTGGATAGAAAAAGAAACTTTCCGTGAAGCAACGTCAGTTGGATGAAATTTGGGAAAAGTATAGTATACTAAGTTGCTATACAATACTGATGGAACTCAGTATGGTGAATAGTTACGTATATTGGTCTTCGATCATTTTGTTATTGACCACGCTTCGGATAATAGATGCGTATCAAGAGACACCTCTCTAAGATGAATGGCTTACTAGGCATTAACTATTAATGTTAACGAACTTAACCAACTGAAAGAGTCTGATCATTTATCCTTACCGTTTTGCGGCACTCTAAATCTCATTGGTTTCTTCTATTTTCTGCATAATCAGTTGCATGGTTTCGAATTCATCTACCTTTGTCTATTAACACATTCTTCAGATCCCTCAAGCTTAAACCCATTTTTAAAAAGTTTATAGTTTATACAATTAATCAAAGTATAAAATAATGCTGGATCATACTTGATCAATGTTCAGTGAAACAACTTCATTTTGTTTTAGATTAAAGTCGAAGTTTATTGACGTGAACAAAAATGTATTTTCCTTACAGATCTAATGCATATGCCTATAATTTTGTATTACAAAATATTACAGAATAATGGGTTCTTATAAATTTGTAATATTTCTTTTCATGATGAACTTTACTTGTTCACATTCAGTAGTACTTAAATTGAACAATCACGGTAACTGATGATAACAATCAAACATAAGATCTAGTCATATTTATGATGTCAGTTAATACTCCATGAAATTTATTGAATTGATGAAAAAAGTTTATTCTCTAAATTTAAACATATATTATTATCATTATCATTATCGTTCATCATCATCATCATCATCATCATCATCATCATCATCATCATCATCATCATCATCATCATCATCATCATCATCATCATCATCATCATCATCATCATCATCATCATCATCATCATCATCATCATCATCATCATCATCATCATCATCATCATCATCATCATCATCATCATCATCATCATCATCATCATCATCATCATCATCATCATCATCATCATCATCATCATCATCATCATCATCATCATCATCATCATCATCATCATCATCATCATCATCATCATCATCATCATCATCATCATCATCATCATCATCATCATCATCATCATCACTCTAGAATTAATTATTGAATAATTCATCCAAACAAATATGATGTTGTATGCTAAGACGTCATACTTGTTAGCACTAATTAAACTAGAATTGCTTTTACATTAGGAAAGATTCATACTAAGTTTATTAATTAAATGAAATATATATCCTACTAAATGGTTGATTTATTAGTGTATAAGATAAGTGGATAATCATATTGTAGTGTATGCTACGTATGTTGATAGATATAAGTTGTATGAAGCACCAATCGGAAGTGGAATGCTTGGCAGAAGAAGGTTGAAAAGATCAACGGGAATATGCAGAAAGTAAGTTTAATAATGACTATAATGAAGCAGTGATGAAGTTTGTATGAAACAATTGATGGAATATGTGTAAATGAAGTATTTAATGTATGTTTTTTTATATTTTGTGAAGACACTTTGTAATTTTGCATTACACAGTAAATTGGTTCACCTTACCAAGTCTTCGTTCACTGCAATGTCAGTTTGCTGTTTAAACGAATATTTTCTATATCACTAGATATTTGACAGTTTGAAAGAAGAGACTGGTCAAACGATTAGATGAAATAGGCTATTCTGTATAGAAAAGTATTACTTAGAAAAAAACCACTATTCATTTCCTTTCAATTGACTTCGATTATGTAACGTAAGAACAGTGTTTATTAAACTTTTAAAATGATTTGGAAATCATAGTTCACTACGAATTGAAAGAAACCAGGTTCAAGTTCAGATAATAATGTATGGTAATGCATTTATCAAAACGATTTTAAAATGGTATATATATATATATATATATATATATATATATATATATATATATATTACTTGGTATCTTCGAGTAGAGACATGTTAAGCTTTGTAAAATCTGTATTATTTGTAGATTGCTTGACTATTTTAGTTATTAATTTCAATTTACGAAAAAAATGATAAAGATTTACTTGAAAAAGAAATATAAAGTCAAGCATTCTGTTATTAATACTGTTTACCTTCATTCAAGTTAAAAGGGTTAAATGGAAGACTTTGAATAGCTATTTCAGAAGCACCCAGTTTAGCCTCAGTAGATGTTAAATAATACCGACTTGTGTTGCATCGAAATTGTAGTTTGGGAATATAAACCTGATATAATGAAAAGATACCAAATATACATTAATGTTTAGTTTATTAACAAGAAAACACAAACACACACTAATCAAAATAATGTTATTCAAGTGTTCTTTGTGTGTTCAAATTCCTCATTTGCTTAAACAAAATTAGTATTTAAAAGATCCACTGACGATATTGTAAGATAGTAATAGAATTGTAGAGGAGTTAAAAATGGACTAGTAATATTCTCTCTCTATAGAAAAGATAGATTTATGAATAGTAGTGGAATCTAGGATGCACGTTCCATTTGATTTGATTTTCGGCATCTAGATGTCCCTGCATTCCAATGTTGATATCCACACAGGAACTCAAACAGAACAATTTGCTTCAAATGCATAACGATTTATCCATTTCAGATAGCTACTCACTTGTGAAACAAAACTGATCATAATTGAGTTAAGCATATCAAGAATGAGATAATTGAAGCCTTTCTTAACAATGATATAAACATTGCCTTTATTTTAGTGAAGTTACTCTTTTCCATGTTAGAAAGTTTAATTATCAAGTATTCTGTTGACAAAGTTCATAAAACACAATCTGAAATCTTATCAGTATAATGTATCACGACCGAAGTACAAACATTTCCGGATCAATATTCTAAGCCAATTTTAATTTTCAACAACCGAAATTTTTGCGGAAAAAGTTTTATGCAGTGTAAGCTATTAAATATTTGAAGATTCTGTGATTAAGAAATATATTTTGAAATAGATTTCTCTGAATAGTTTAAGTTTGAAGTTAATTGATCAAAATGATAATCATTTGTTAAAGTACAACAGTTATACTATATCTCGAATTCTACATGTATTCAGGTGGGTGCTACTGATGTCGACAGATATTGGTAGTATGTATCACCAATCGACAGTGGAATGTCTGGTAGTGTAAAATTAAGAAAGTCGGAGAGAAGAGAATAAGAACAGAGAGTGATTGGTATGGAAACGAAGAAACACCAAAGTATGAGACAATTGATTGACATTTTGCAAATCAATTATATAATGTATGGTTCTCAGATTTTACTATGAGACTTTGTTATTTTGTATTCAAATACATTTGGTTGTCCCCACTTGTGTTCCCGTTCATTACAATATAACTATTTCGAACATTTTAAATTTAAATTTAATTTTCTTGCTGTAACTCATTCAAACGAAATAATTCGGTAAATAGAGCATGTTGAGAAATTGTTTGTACGGATAATATCTGAATATAATGACACTAGTAATTTTAAGGTAATCAGCTATGATATAAAAGTATATGGAATTATTTATCATAACGTTGTGATAAAACCACTCAACTTCAAATGTCTTTTGCCTTTGCTCGTGAAGCGAACCTCTTCGGCATATATCTAAGTATGCAAACGTATATTTATTTGTATAAATTATTCTGTTTCTAAACGCTAAGGTTAGTTTAAAAACAATTCTATAAATGAGTAATAAAAGGTATTTCTATAGCTTGTTTCTTATTGTAATACCACATATTAGTAAAAATTTGCTTTCAAAATTCATAAAAGCTTTATTAGATATTTTCAAATATTAGTTTTTATGCAATAATACCAACTAAATGGTGTTGAGAATTTGAGTTATCCTCAAATTCAGCTGTCTTCCTGTATATTAACAACAATGAATATTGTTAGTTAAGTAAAATAAGCAAATAGTCAAGTGGATGGCTATACCAATCCTGGGATCTGTTTACTTTTTTCATTATACTAATTGTTGAGCTTTTCTAAGTGGTATCGATAAAAAGTGCTTCTGATTTAGTAAAGGTACTCTTTATCCCTTACTAGTACAGTCTTTGACAACACATCCAGTTGTATAAAGCTAATTGATCATTCTCTGGTTTATAAATCATCATTTAAAGTTGGTTAATTTACACTAACTTAGATGAAATATATAATCCTGAAAGGTACTCTAGTAAACTAATTATGTTTCTACATTCACACTTTTTTTATCCTATAATCTAGTTGATGTTATTCATTCTTTTTAATGATTTCAATAATAATTACAAAGTATAGATGGATTTTTCAGCTGAAGAGTCCCAAATAGGATGAAACCCACATCCTGTATTTCACTGTCAGCCACTATCCATCTTTTTTTAGAATGCTTGTGACCTAAAGCAATATCGAGGCAATACACACAGTATGCACATATGTATCCATAAGAGACTAATTAATTACAGTCCTAAGGAAAAGAAGAAGACCAAAAAACACATTACGCCGGGAAATGGAGACAGTCATCAGAAAAAAGAACATGAATTGGATGGAACTAGAAAAGAAAGCCCAGGACAGAGTGGGTTGGAGAATGCTGGACGGCGGCCTACGCTCCATTAAGAGTAACAGACGTAAGTAAGTAAGTAAGTAAATAAATATCAATGAGAAGATACAAATAAACAAATATCAAGTGAATAATTCCTATCATTCGAATAGTATTCGCTTAATCTTTTTAAACCATGATAATCTAATTCTTTAAAAGATATTTAAACTTTCAATGAATTTTTTCGTTTTGTTTTTGTTTTATTTTCAGTGAATTTGTGTTTTAGAAAAAAATAATTCGATAATCACTATATGAATCATGTTTTAGTTACTATATGTATACTTGAAAGGAATATTGATAAACAATTCGATACAAACAAACAAAAAAATAAAGAAGAAAAAAACAAACAAAACAAACTATCATCTATCGTGTTTATCTCATTTGGCTTTTAACTTACTGTATAAATATTAATACAACTGAATTAAACATATTTAATTTTTGGTTTAGATTTTAATCTTTCTACTGTATAAGTTTATTTATGAATTCAGCAAAATTCAATGATATTTGTCATTTATTATATAAATCATATTGTACAATATACAATAATGTATGATTGACCCTTGATCATAATGACATTATGAAAATATTTCAATCCATTTATAAATTGAATAATAATTTTAATTAATTTATAGGACATCATAATGAATAGTATGATCAATATATTTATCACAACAATTAATTAACTCAGATCAATATACTGTAATTTTTCAATCACAGTTATTTGTCTATAAGTTTTGGCATTATTATTGTTTATTATTATTATTATTTTAAAACGCGTAAATATTAATACAAGGAGGTACCAAATAGAAATGCGTCACATAAATCATCCGATTTATGTGAGGATTGGAATACTGCCTAGGTGTCTAATTTGAAACAGGTGGATTTCTTAGATGGTCACACCCGGAACCTTTGACTTAAAGGTCTAATCCACAAGGTAGTGGCGATACATCAGGAGATGTAGTTGTGGGGAAGATTTGTAGCTCAGGTGGATGATTTTGATGGAGTTTTGTTCTCTGAGCTGGATGGTTTGGTCGTGGAGCTTTCATTGTTCTTCTGATGATTTCGTTCAGAAGAACGATGAAGGCTCCACGACCAAACCACCCAGCTCAAAGAACAGAACTCCATCAAAAAAAACAGGAGATTTAGTCTGATGGTAGCCGGTGACCAACGGTTGGTTCATACACCATTAGGATCCTGAAGCCCATGTTCACCATTGGTATGGAATCAGGGTAATTCAATTCCCCTAGGTGGACTCTCCATGTCTATCAACTCGGTTAAAGCACTGGACATAGGGTTTTCGTCCCCTGAATTTCGTAAACAACACCCTCGTTGCCAGAAGGCGGTAAATAGGCCCTCCCTGAAGGTGACCATATGAGCGTGACCATGTGAAAACATTTCGAGAGGGACAGATAACTATCCTCACTCTCGGCCGTACCAGGTCATTTGGGGGCAAGATTTGACAACCATTTTGGAAAAATTACTTTAATTATTTATTTCATAGATCTTGCAAAGCAAACGGACATGATTTCATATTGTCCACTTTCATTTCAATGTAATAAGAGTGAAAAATGAAAACAGAAAAAAAACAACTAAACAGAACATAATAATAACTATCCAATAAATCAAGTTTGGTTAAATGGTAAAATTCTATCCAAAAAAGAAAAAGTGTATATCCGTACCAAACTTCAGCTCTTGTGAGAGGTAAAGAGTGAATAAATCTTAAAAACTAGTATCCATTTTAAGTAACGACTAAAGTCCCCGTGTATTAAATAATAATACAAGTGTACTAATATAAACCTAAAAATCCATATCTCAATGCTAGGCTGGGATAAATCGATCACATTGTATGGTAATCACATATATTCACTGCTCGTCACTAGTGTTCTTCAAGACTAACTGGATATTTGCCAACTAGGGATGAGTAAAAAATAGATCAGCCATGTGAGCTAATGATAACTGGTTGTTTCAGATCTAACTGAAATTGTACTCTTAATTATTTTATCACTAAATTCGTTAGGTTATCATATGGGTTCAATACTCTGAAGATGAGTATTATGAAATAATTTTCATTTACGCATGTCTTTACATTCTATAGTTTACTTTTTCAGAACTTAGATCATTACATCATGAACTGTTGTTCAGAATACTAATCTTTTGGTGGGCAAGCGAGGATCTCGATAGAGTCTTAGGCATTGACTAAAATCAAGTGAAAATTTTGTTACTATGACATAATTTACTCGGACGTCAACCCAACATAGCTGATGAGATACTTAGATTTGTGAAATGGCGAATCCGCCTGGCCACTTTATTCTCCATAGTCAAGGATTATCAAAAACAACCACTAAAAAACAATTTACATTAAAATGAATGGATATGCGCCTAAGTCATTCCTAGCTTACTGCATAAAGTGTTACCTAATAGCCAACAAAAATCTTTACGCTGAACATGAATCAGTTAGTGATCTTAATGATAAAAAGTACTAGAAAGTGAATCTAACGACTTAAATTAATGCTTACCTGTCCAACATACAACTGAAACTTATTTCCTGTAGTTGAATCAATGAAATCAACTGGTATTGCACTACATATCGGAGAACCAAGACCATCACGTAAACATAGATCATTTAAATTCTAAAATTAAAAAAGAGATATCTATAGAATGTTGACTTGACTGGTCATTTTAAAAAAATATTTAGTACATACATATAAGAAGGCTAGTGATTACTAATGAGATGAGGTAATAATAAGGAATAATTACATTTGACATTAATTGAAACTACACTTGTTGAAATAAATAGATATGATAAGAATGAAACAGAAGAACTAAACGTAGTGAGATAGATAATTAAGAGAATCAATGGACAGTTCAGGGGTCTTGGAGATTGTTAAGTTTTTGATTGAGATCATGAACCGATGGATGTTAGACCACCATTGAAAACCTGGAATCACTGGACGGCCGTTTCATCCTATTGTAGGACTCCTCAAAAGCGCGCATCCGCGGTCCCGCTCGCGGGATTCGAACCCTTAACCTGCTGGACCACTGAGCCGGCAACCAAATGGTGTTAATGTCTAACCTCAACCAATCCACGAAATTGCTTGACCACCTTCCATTGTACTGAGGTAGACATATGTTTCTACCCAACACGGATTAGCTCCACTGGTCACGGCTGCTCACCAGAACTGCGAAAATTTTCTCAGGAAGCTAGTCACTAGTGAACACATGGTAATTATCAGTTTAGGGGTTGTGGATATTGTTAAGTTTTTGATAGAGATCATGAAACGGCCGTCCAATGCTTCCAGGTTCTCAATGGTGGTCTAACATCAGTCGGTTCAGGATCTCAATCAAAAAAAAAAGAATCAATGAAACTTTCATATTCAAACAATTACACTCTTAAGGGTAAGCATATATAAATCCATACAATTAGATATGAATTAATTAAATTGTATACATATTTCTTTTCTTCAATGAAGTACACATTGTATAAATTGAGACTAACCTCTAAAAGAGCTAACGGATTCAACTGACGTTGCTGTAACTTCTAAAATAATAAGTAAAAAAGATAATGATAATGATGAAACTAACGAATTAATGCATAATGAAAAGACACTTGTTTCTTTTTTCTTACATTAAACCAAATGAATCATTTCAAAAATAAAATTGATTAGTGATTATTTTTTTTAATAGGCAAAAAGAAAAAAAAATAATTAAAATTTGGCAGAAATTGTCTTCTAGCTAATTTTATTTTTATTTTAATCTCTATGCATGTTATTAGTAAACAAGTATGATCAGTAAAATAGCCTTAAACACAAGGCTTGTTTCTTTGTTACAAAAAGAAAAGAAGAAGAAGAAATGTTACAGTGCATTAGTAATCAAAGAAAAAGAAATTCAGTATATTATCACATAAATAAGCTGGTGAATTAGACAGTTTACTAATTGACTAGCTAGAAATTAGTAAGTATTAGTTGATTATCTTTTTTCTGTTCATAGAGAAATCATGCGTACACACACACACACACACGAGATCTACGGTAATCAAACCATATTTTCAAAAAAAAACAAATCAAACTATCTCATTAGATTCAGTCATGATAATTTACCAAAAATTTGATATTAAAAACAAGTAAACAAACAAACCAATCATCATTTAATGAAATGGATTGAGTTTCTGATGCATTTTATAAATAATTGTAGTATTGTTGATAATCAAGTTTCTTGACTTATTAATCATGATATATAGTAATTTGTAGGTCTATACAATGACCCTACAATCATTACGTTAAAGAAATAATTTAATGAAATGTCAGTATATAGAATTTGATAACTTGACACATGTTATATGCTCTCTTTTTAGTTGCACTTAATTGTGTAAAGGTTGCAGATATTGCACATCAGTTTAAACACGAGTAAATGAATGAATGAATGAATCGATGTTCGGACCTAAGACACATTACCTAAGAGTTGAATGGTTCAATTAACTAATCATTACATCATAAGTATACATATACAGATACGTAATGTAACATACACCATTGTTATTGAGAATGTTAGTTTAACTTTAGAGAATAAAAAACCATCAGATGACACTGAATATATATTTGAATTAGAAATTAATTTACCGCTATTACACCAAACATGGTATGGGATTTATGTTGTTAGTGCGAATTTTAAACAGTGTAAGCAAGATACATGTAGAGTTCTCCAAGGAACATGTGTACAAGGTACTGTTTTTGGAAATGAGTGTAAATTTCAGTGGTGGATTTTATTATCACAAAATATTATTTGACATTTAACTGTCTACTTAACTAACACTTGGAAAAGGTACATGTTGTGTAATATTTTATGAATGTTGATTGACCACTTCCACAAATTCGGTGTTCATCTTGTTGTGCTAATGAGGTGTGGCAATTTGGACCAACGAATATATATATACCTGGTCCTACGTTGTTTCTGACTAACTGGATATTTTATGAAATCAATACAAATGATACAGAAAACGATCATTCCTATGGATAATAATAATAATATTTTTATTTTTTTGAGCTTTCTTCTACCTCATATGTAGCCAAACTGTGTTCCTTATATATAATATTTTCAATAAGTATTTCATGTATAATTCAATGTAACTTAGTTACTTAGTATACGTTTGATGAACTCATTTTATGGTAAACTGTATGTAGAAAATGTATTCACACTAGCCGGTTTGTCAAGTTCAGATTGTTAATTTCAATAATCACATATCAAATTATCATGGAACACAGCAATTCATTAAAATAGATAAGTATTATTACTACAAATGTCATCTCTATTTATATTAGATTCAAGAAAGTAATTAATAATTATCAAAATTTTTCATTGATTCGTTTATAATTTTTAAATCTTTTTTCTCATAATCAAATCACTAATATGCAAATATGAGTAGTATATTACAATTTGTAAACGGGAAATATTTTATTACAAAACAAAATTATTAATTATTTGTGATTACACCATGAAAAATGTGATAAGTTTTGTGATGTTTATATATATTCATATAGATAAGTTTATATAAATAGGCAAATAGCATAAATCTTATCAATATCATAAATAGAGCATTTAAAACAGCGAAATAAAAATCATTAATAAATGGGGTTAATTAGAACAGAAGTGATAGGAATTGAAAATTATAAGTGTAGCAGGAATTTATTAGTAAAAATATATGGATTAGGATACGATTGTTTTTATTGTAAGCAATTTTGTTAATATTTTGCCTTAGTAGTTTCAGACTGATAGTTGTTGAATTATTATCGTGATATATATATATATATATATATATATATATATATATATATATATATATATATATATATATATATGTATATATGACTGCACGTTCTTGTTATCAGGATTTACTTTAACTGCATACACTTTTTAATTTTTGTTTCATGATAAACTTACTAACTGATCGCATAAACGCCATTGATGTTTAGCCTTGCCTCAAATTATTCACAAGATAGAAAAAGGAATTAGATATAGAAAAAATATACAAAAAATGGTGAGTTAAACATGTTTAACGTGATGATTAATGTTTGATAAAATACTACGTAACTATATATTCATTAATGAGATCATTAGTCAAGTCATGTCAATTCACTGTTGAAAACCTAGATGCTTTCAACAATTGGTGGGTTTTAGTATTGGGCTCCTTGGCAAAGCCCATCCATGGGTCTACTAAAAAGGTTCAAACTTGAGACCAATGATTTCACTCGCAAACACTTAACATTTAGACTAATAAACCGGAATCCAATGGCATAAAAGTGTAACTCCGGTCAATACGCTATAGTGCTAAATTATCTTCCATTGTCTTTCGTGAGTACTTTTTTCGAATCCTATAATGTTAAACTACTCTAATAAAGGTTTCCCACTTTTGAAAAGTCCCAAATTGATATAAAACAGATGTACAACGCTTACAGGTTTTTAATGATTGTCCAACAGAGATCGGTTCATGATATCAATAAAATGAAATAATCTCTACAACCTATACATTAATATACTGGTTAAACAGTTATCAACTCATTTATAAAATAATAATAATAATAATAATCGTGGAAAAGTGCTTTCAATAACGAACCAACTTTGATCTGATGTAAATCCAGCTGAAACTGGACTTTCTTGGATGTTGTAACTTCTCATTTTATATATGAATAGTTCATAAATAATAATCATTTTTAGGGTATTGGGAATAAGACGAAAATAAACTACATGAAGAGTCCCAGTGCCCTTTTGTGTAAATGATCTGTATTAGACCATTTGAAATGTTTAATTTTTGTTTATGTTACTAGACAATGATACACTTTTTAGTAATAGTAATCCCGTAATTTGTGGTTTTTTATGATAACAAATGTGAAGATCAGAATTAAGCAGGATTTTAGATTTCATGTACTTTAATATATTTGCTGTAAACACGATAGGCGATTATAAGCATACGTAATTAATATTTGGTGTTTGATTGTTCAAATTCAAGCAAATGAACTATATCACCGGACGTGATATCGAGTATATCAAACTTTATCTCATATTATTTAGGACTCGGGACTTTACGCTTGACCATCTACTACAATGAAGTATCATGAAAGTAAACGACATTGTGTCATTTTATATTTTGTTTCACTGTTTATAAGTTTACGTAGAAATTACTATAAATTTATAGTTTTCAAAAGTATTTATGCAGTTAGTTTGTTTAAAAAAAATAATTACCAAAGTACCTTATAATAATACAAGATTAGGCACTCATCTGAAACACTTAGAACGTTAAAAGATATAACGAGTTTCTTTTCCTACAAGTAATTGTTAGTTGAATATCTATTTAGTTGACTTTCAAACACATTCGAATATATAATGATAAATGTATTCACTGATAAAAGTGAGAACATTTACACTTTTTATGAACTATTTGACTTAATAAAGTATTATTACATTATGTATCCACTTATTTGACACCTATGTGTACACATACTATTTAAGGTAATTTAATTTATAATGAATCAACAATAAACATATTTAATACAGTTTAGAATGATGTCTCAGTAATTTATGAAAGACTTTATAATACTTATCAGTGATTATTTATTTTCAGATGGGTTTTGTGGATATTATAGTAATTTCAATGGTTAAGATCATGAGTCAGTTGAAACTAGACCACCATGGAAAACCTGGAAGAACTGGATGGCCGTTTCGTCCTATTGTGGGACTCCTCAACAGTGCGCACACACGACATCGCCCCCTGCGAGACTCGAACCCAGGAACTACTGGTTTCGCGCGCGAGTACTTAACTATTAGACCACTGAGCCGTCATCCAACGGTGTTAATGTCTAACTTCAACCAATCCACGAAGTTGAGCCACCGTACACCATTGTCTTCGGTGAGCTGATATCTCACAATAGACCTGGTTGAACTCTACTGGTAACGGCTTCCCACTAGAACTCCAGGAGTATCTCTTGACGTCAGTCACTAGTGAGCAGATGATTATTATCAGAAGGGGTTTGTGGAGATATTAGAAATTTCACAGGTTGAAATCATGAGTCAGTTGAAGCTAGACCACCATGGAAAACCTGGAAGCACTGGACGGCCGTTTCGTCCTATTGTGAGGCTCCTCAGCAGTGCGCATCCATCCAGTGCTTCCAGGTTTCCATGTTGATGTAGCTTCAACTGACTCATGATTTCAATCTGTGAAATTTCTAAAATCTCCACAAACCCCTTCTGATAATGATATATTTATCAAAGCTTTTCATACCTATTAAAGAATTAATAACTATTTTGTCCCTGTGTGGTATTTTCTGTAGAGACCTGGAAATCTAGAAGGAATCATATGTTCATTCCTGGTCACAAACAGCTATTAATTTTAAACGCAGAAATAAAAATTCTATTCAGTACTCACTATTTCCCTAATGGTTCTCTCACTTGTGTCAATAAATTTAGTAATTTTCAAAATACTATCGGAAATGTATTTCGTCTAGAAAATTAGACAAGTTGCTTGAAGGTTAAAAACTTCCCTCTGCATCTGAAAGTACTGGTTTTGGATCTCGGAAAAGAAGAGATTGTGAGTCCGTATTGCTAAATAATTTCATACCAGTAAAACAATGATGTTTTATTTTTTGAATACCCTTCTGTATCAGATGTTTATTACCTTAATCAACGTGGTGTAACGAACGAAGTCTTTACTCTGAGTAATCGGAGTTTCAGGGATTTTGAAACATGGTTTTTACTATAATAATCGTATATTTATTTATACAACAGGCAACCAATTTGCCTGTTTCACAGCGTCAAAGGAATCTGACAATTGTCTGACAGTCCTCACAAGTGTGAAATGTTTTTCACTTTCAGAATAGGAGTAAGATTAATCTATTATTTTATTATTTCCGTTAGTGCATAGTTTACTGTTATTTTTTGATTACTTTCAGTATTGGTAATCAAACAAAAACCTTTTAAACTTAAGGCATTATTAGTTCCACTGTTTTGTATGATGTAACCCTTTTAGGTTGCACTCAGCTAAGTTCAAGTAACCATGATGCTATTTTTGGTGTCCCTCAATTGTAGTCAATTCTTTTAAATTGGATGTAGAGTATAAAACAACAGGTTTATAAACTCTTGAATAATACTCTAACTAGAAAAGTTATACTTAACTACATACTTGGAGTTTATAATTCATCAAAATAAGCTAAGGAGTTTCACTTAGAGCAAATTTTTCATAGCTAAGAAGTTTTGTTATAGGTAATTAAAAACTGATGTTTAGAATTGACTGATTCGTGGATTTTTTTCCTCAATGCTTTATTTTGAATATTCCATAAACAAATAAATATAACTAATTAAACTCAATTGAAGTTTTATCTATTAGCAGATGAGACATGAAATATTCAAGTGATATTAACATATTTAGATAAGAATAAAATTTTAACTTTATTAACGAAATCATAGTTACTTTTAAACCTTACATAACACTTATCATCTGATTGAATAAAATTGATCTTAAATATTGTTTATAATTCTGATCGTATTATCAAATGATCAGATACTTCATCAGATTGAAAAGTATAATTAATATTTTGTTGTTATTCTTGTAATAGACAAATGTCTAACAATTTGGAAAATGTATACAAACTTGAAGTGATAAGATATATGGTTGACATAGCTATTATTAATTGTTTGATTTTATATTATTTATTTGTTTGTGTAATATTGTGGTGTGTGCTACTGATATCGACAGATATAAGTAGTATGTATCTCCAATTGAAAGTGAAATGTCTGATGGCAGAAGATCGAAAGAAAGAGAACTAGCGCAGAGAATGATTGGTGTGGAAACGAAGGAACAATGAAATCTGAGATGATTCATTGGAATTTTGCAAATGAAGTATCTAACGTATAGTTTTCGCATTTTACTTTTGGTTTCACACACTGGTGTTCTCATTCACCACAATATAACATTGTGATCATCTAATAATCTTTGTTATCAACAGGCTTTGATAATTTAGTGTCAGATGAAGTATAATTTACCTCAATGTTGATAAACATTAAGTGAATCTTTTAAACCTACCATCTGTTGATTATCTCGAAACACATAATTCAACTGGGAAAAGCTATACAATAATGGGTGAAATATATCTCAAAACTGAAATGACAAGTGATTCGATCGGTATTTAACTTGTTTAGCACAGATGTATACGGAGAATGAAGTAATATATATTGGTGAATTATGACACACAAATATTATTTAGGGTGTCTGATATCATTCTTGAGTTAATAATTTAATAATTTTTGACATGCAATGATTATGAAGGTAGAATGTTTATATAAACAGGCAGAAATGTCCATAAATTAAGTTCTTAATTCTAAAATATAGTGGTATATTAGACAATTTAAACTATACACATTTTTTTTTGAGTGAATTAACAGTTCAGTTTGTAAAATTAACATAGAAACAAAGGAATATAAGATGAAGGCTAATTTAAGCAGAGGTTTTCAATTTTCCATTGTCGATTTTCAGGACTGTAATTACTCAGTCGCTGTTGCTTGTACATATCATAAGCAGATTATCTCGACACAGCCTTTACTTACAAATTTTTAGCTTAATTAGTGCGAGTCCCAAAATGGACTGCAAACATAACCTGGATTTCATTACTAGTTATTTACCAAATATTCTAAAGACGTTAGTATTGTGGCCAAGTATGTTGGAATCCTGTTGGGTTAAAAGTATTATACAAATAATCATTAATTAAAAAGAAGCAATCACTCATGACCTTAATCTACCTATTTATGCATATTAATTGATTGGCTGATGTAAGGTGAGCTAGGCTAGTAATACAGTTGCCTTACTTTTCCACTACATATCAGCCTTTTGGGAGCTGAAACATAACTAATCCATGACCTATGAACATACTCAAGCTTGGAGTGAAGTGGTTGCTCGATAATGAAATCGGATAACATTTGAGCTCTATTGTGAGGTGACTAAACTTAAAAAATATCAACAACTAGATTACAACTATGTAACTGAATGTGACCGTAGTTTATCATTGGATTCATGGACTATATAGTTAGGTCTAAAATGGCCATAGACGACCAATCACAATGAAACAGTCATCAAACGAACTATGGAATTCAATGATCCTTTGATAAGTGATGTCTCATGAAGATTTATTTTTTTAAATAGAATTTTCATCTGTAAATGTGTCAGCCATGTCGAAAATGATATAAACAGGACTTATATGACTTACATTTGGTTGTTTATTAAATTATTAAATAAACAAATATACTATTTGTAAATTATTAACCTTTTGTCAAAGTGTAATCATTATTTTTGTTATTATTATGTATACGTATATTGTTACAGGTGAAGTTGTAATGTGTACACCGGAATTGAAAATACAGTCAAAAAATATGTCTTCTTACTGATTCAAATGTAAACAAATCAACTCGTCGGTTTATTATCGATTTTAACGACAGCGTATATATATATAGGTCACCTACTAAACTGAGAAACTGCACGTTGTTACATTCTAAGACAATGCTAGGTAACTAAAGTTTAAAATTAAAGTCTGTCGTCCTATAACTTAAACAGACGTGAGTATATTTAGAGTCTGCTAGTACCATCATTCATGTCGCAGAATTAAGGATAAGCAGACTGACTATAGAGTTCACCTATAGGATTTACTATCAATGTACAAATAATTTAGTGAGGTAGTTTACATTTACTTGAAGTCAAATAATTAATGGTCGAAGTAACTATTTATTTTAAATAAAACATCAATATTTTGCAATCACTTTGGAAAATGTACATATTAGACTACTAATAGTTTTACTGATATTATCATCTGACTTAATCAATAAAATAATTATAATGAATAAAATAAACGGTCTATTAATAAATGATTCTATTTACTCACTTCTACAGGATGTTTACGATCCTTTTGGGCTCCAGCGCTTCGACTACCAGCCGCATTCCTTCGGCCCGTTCTTGAGGAATTCAGCTTCATACAACTAGTAAAACAATTGTTAGTAGTGTATGAAATTTAACCGATCTCATATTATTATAATTGTTGTTCGGAAAAATGCTTAATTGCTTTGCATCTGACTGACTTATTTTTCGAAAAACTACAAATATTACTAGGTATGAACATAATTTGTGTAATTTCTTTGCGGCTAATGCCAAACCATGACGAAAATTTTCTTAAGTTGAAATAAAATTATTCTATCACGAGTGTTGTTGAGAATCATTACTGTTTAAATAGGACTGTGAAAAGATAGTTGTTTTCAACGACGCTATTCATTCGTGTTTTATCATCGTCTTTACAATAATTTATCAAGTATAATAACCTGTTGTAAAAATAGAAGGATGAATATATGCTATAACATTTGGGACTTTCAAGTGTTGAAAGAGATCTCCCTAATGACGGAGAAGTTAGAGAAAAATCATATGATGAAAATAAATCTATGAAAGGTAATCTTCCATTTGACAAGCATAAAAAAGTTGAAGAAGAATTCAAAAACGCGGAGGTATGTATGTGTTGCCTTTCTCTTGTGGAGCTAGCTGCATTGGCTACATAAAACAAGTAGTTACTATAAGCGTCTCCAGGCAATACTATTCATTGGTTTAAAAGGAAGAATTTAAAACGATCAGTAGCTTAATATTCGAACATATCTTCGGCTCTGATAACGATATCACACGAGAAATATCTTTTAAAATAATTTATCTACATGGCCAGGTAACTAAATTCAAAGGTTGTGCGTTTCAATAGCTTATGAACTTCTGAGGTGTTAACAACTCAATATTTGAAGCCGTAATTCTGTGTAAAAGAAACAACACTTGTATACTACCATATCATCGTGGCTTTAAAGCTTAATTTTTTTATTTGATAAATTAGGTCTTAATATCTTTTAGTAATATTTTAATCTTGAATTGTTTTTTATTGCCACGCGATTATGACAAAATCATAAGTATGGCCTGTATAAGGGTAATTTCATATTGGCTTTCATACGAACCTACGATTCTATGTCTGAGCCACTAGTAATCGTGAGTGACAAAATCATGAACAACCTTAGCTTCCAACGACAAATGTGTGCGATTTTGTTTGGTTTTTTATACATTTTTCGTGCTTTTTTTAAGTAGTTTATAATTTCACTACCAATTTTAGAAGACTGTCTTCCTGTTTATAATACTGATTGAGGGGATATAATACAATCATTTTCAGAAAAAAATTACATGGTTAACTCAGTAACGGTTAAAATTTCACTTGAAGTTCGCCCAAAGTGAAGAATTTCATTTAAGCTTACCCAGAAAGGATAGTAGTCTCATTTTGAAAAGTAATCAAATTACGTTATTTTAGTGCATAGTTTAAGCCTAATGAGCATGGTTTGTCGATCTTATATTCTACATAGAAACATCTGTACAGATTTGGCATCAAAACCTAAGCTTGGTAGTTCTAATAAAACTGATATAACGAACTGACCTAAGTTAGACACCCAGTATCGTAAATTGATTAGAGTTCGACAAATACACCATTGGATTACGGCCAATTGGTCTGGAGATTGAACATTTATGTGTGAAACCAATAGTTTCGGGTTTTGATACCTGGTTGGACCATGGTTGTGTACTCCTGGGAACTGCAATACTAGAATGAGACAGCTGTTCATCACTTCCGAGTTTTCAATGGATGTCTAACTTGCGTCAGTTCGTGATATCAATAAAATCCAGTAATCGCCACAAACCTTTGTCATGATAAGATTATTAATAGGCATTTCCTGTGTTTGGTAAATATTTAGCCTCGTCAAATAATATAAACTACATAACATATTCCGTTTAGATCTGAATGGAGTAAAGGGTTATTTATATTGTTATTTTAAATTGAGCTCACCTAGGACTTCCAAGATTATTATCTGTTCGCCCGGAGTTTAAAACATCTGAATTAGTTGGTAAAAGATCAGTTCCCACAGGCGTGCCTTGAGATGGTAAAAAAAATGGTGATGTTGATTCCAATTGGGGCAACATCCCTCCAGCTGCTACAACAGCTGTAGCTGCGGCAATCATGTTTTGATCATTTGATAAAATTAATTCATTTATTAATCTTCCAGGTGTACGAGAGGGCTGTTGTCGAGTGTTTAACTCATTCTTGTCAACTGGTTTTGCCCATGTAACTTCTATCTTTGAACCATCAATATAGGTATCTGTAAACAGTAAATGAATGTCATCCTCACACTAAATATAAAAGGAATTTAAACAATTCGACTTTATTTAAAATATTTATTTCTTGGATACATACAGCCCTTGAAAAAGACGAAGAATAGTAAAAAACTTATTTTTTCACACACAATTGTGGGTTTATATAGTTGACTGTAAGTGATATTAACCATGATATTAAGAAGTATTCCACTTGAAATCATTGAATACAACAGGCAAAATACACTTAAACTTATAATTTATCCTTTAGCCAATAAAATTCGTATTTCATCTACAAATTTTTTCTGTCCATTCGTTTCAACAAGGGATTGTTATGGTTCGGGTTGACAGACAATCTAAGTAAATACAGAAATCACTTAATCACTGTATGACACAGCCAGCTTCTATACTGACAAAAGGCACATAAGTATATCATTTAGACAAGGATCAACTGATAGGATAACAAATTCAGTGAATACTCAAATCACTGCAGCATGTTACAGTCTAAAATAGAGAGTGAGTTAACAGTTGACCATCATTAACATTTATTATTTTGTATTATTCAATATTATATCAAGAAGCAGAAATTAAGTGTATATATGTTCTCGGGATTTAAATCATTCTTGTGAAAATAACTAATAAATATATCACCTTCATAACCAATTTTCAGCATATGAAGTAGATCATAAACCCAAAACATAATTGTTTACGAGTTCACCCAAAACTTCATATCGGTTTTTTTTAAAATGTAATTTCTCCTGACATTTCAGCTATACTGTTAACGGACACAATCTGCCAAGAACCAGTAACAGTTGATATTTTTGTTATTATTGTAGTAGTGTTCCTCTTTCTTCGTTCGTCAAGTGTCATTTGTTTGCATGATAACCGCTCGATAAAAATATTTACGCAAATTTTACTACCCGTTTTCTAAAAAAAATACTGAAAACTTATATCTACAACCTTTCACTACTTTTCATAAACGGAACTGATTAAGTTAGTCATAATCTAATATTATTATCCATGTTCATTGAAAAAAGTTTCTTATTAAAATTAGTATCACAGTCAAAAATCATTATTTCACATTAAAACGTGGATTGGATTCGTTACGAATTGATCTCAGGGGAGATACCGTTCAAAATAAGGAACTATTAGACAGTTCTTTTGTTTTAGTACCAGAGTCTTCAGAGATGTACACTCATTACATCGTCTAGGATTGAGATGCGTTCCTGAAGAATAGATGGGAATTAGTGAGCAATGGAGTTCAAACAGAGGTAGAGGAAAAAAATGTGATCAATAGTAGTCAATGATTGTCGTTATGTACTGCAAATTGACTGAAGTTCTAAGTTTTTACCGCTAGACCTCAGTTCAGTAGTTTTAGTGGTTAAGCTCTTTCCTCAAAACCCAAAGGTCTTAATTCCTTCTCATAAAAGGACGAAACAGATATCCAGTGGTCCTTGGTCTACTGTAGCACCTATAAATGAACTTTACGCACGCCATTTACAGAATAAAAAATTATTCACAAGACTAGTTTATTTAGATTCATATTAAATCAGAAAACGTATAAGTAATGTTAGAAATGTGTTCTATTCTGTTTTCCAGACACCAGACTCATATCTATTCACTATTATCTATTTTAAAAAATCAGCTCATTGTGAAAGTAGCAAATATTCGGTCATTCATAAAACATCATTTGGTCCGAACACGTTTAAATCAGATGAAATTTACAATAAAGTAACAAAAAAAACTGAATTAGAAATTTCTGTTTTCATAAACTTTACTCAAAGAAAAGGATATTGAAAATTTAGAAACACGGACAAAACGTCGAGACGGTTCAGTCGGTTATGTGCTAGACATCTATGGAATCAGACTTCATAGTTATTCAACAACTGACAAACAAACATCAGTAATAACAAGAACTATTCAAGCCAACTTGCTTGATATTTAAGCAAAATCTCTACAAGGTTGCTTTTTAATATTTGTGTTAATAATTTTCATAGAAAGATCATGAAAGCTTTAATGGTCACTTACAGTATTTCATGTTATGCAAGCTAAGTAGTCCAAAATTCCACAAAAATTACCAACAAAAGAATTCAATTAAAATACAAAAATGATTAAAATAATCTAGGGAGCAATAAACGTTGAATTATTCAATGTTCAAGAAACAGGTGTATATAATGAATATCAGTAGACTGTTGCTGTGATGTATGCTACTTATGTCGACAGACATAAGTAGTATGTGACACCGATCGGGAGTGGAAAGCCTGGCAGCAGAAGGTTAAGAAGATAGAATCGGAGAAAAGAGGAAGGGAAAATAGAAACAAATTGTGAATTGGAGGAATCATACAGAATGTGAAGGACAATTAATGGAAGATTTCCAAATGAAATATTTGATGTATGGTTCTTATATTTTATCAAGATATTTTGTAATTTTGCATTAAATAATATAACGGTTGTCTCTACCTGAGTTCTCGTTCATTACACTACTATGACTAAATTGACCTATCAAGTATAATATATTGAATTTAGAAAATATTTTGTTTTCTATTATGATAAATTCAAAACTAATGACTCAATGAAAATAATATATATGTTTCTGATTTGATTAATTTTACCAGCTCTTTGTTACTTTGACCACAACTACATATGGAATCTAAGCAAATTATACTATGGTTAAAGGTTAATGACCATCAAGCGATATAAACAGAAAGATTTTTCAACCGGAAATCTAACATTAAAATTTATACCTAATTTGTAATTCTATAAAAATACTGATTATCAAATACTAGTAATGTGGTACTCTTGACCCATGTATTTATTTCATGGAGAAAATAACATTTCGAGAGAAATAATCAAACAAAAACTCACAAATTTCACCTTTCATACGATAGAGAATGGCATAAAGGAATAATTCTATTGAGAATTTTAGTTTGAAGAACAGTTGTGTTATCGTTTACTTACAGTACTTTAATCATTTCTGGATAAAATAGCTGATATGTTTTAGAAATTATAATATTAGAAAGTTTATACTTTAGTCATCTACTATTCTCTGAAAATGACAACAATCGAAGTATTGGTTGAAAAGCAATTATATGAATTCCCTTTATTTTGTGAGTTTTCATTATTTGCTAACAAAATTAATCATATTACTTAAATATATTGATTCGATTGAACTATACTGTGTTTTATGATCAAAATCAGCAGCAGCCTTTAAAATGACATGAGTTATCAATTAAGTTATTTAAATGCAATATCATTAGGTGAATATTATAGAAAACACTAACATATATCATATGAACTGTTGTCTAAAGCAATTGAAAATCGATTAATCTCCTACGCATTTTATGAAAAACTATATTCGTTAATTTGTATGTACGTGATAAAACGCATTAATTAGAAGAACAAATAAGACGATTAGCTTAAGTAGTTTTAAAAATAGTTTAGAGAAATTGTGAATTAAGAGCGCTAAAATCCTTAATTGTGAAGTTTTGTGACCTTTGATCAATAACTTATATATAGAATGTGGATAGTTTAATGTCATTTAATATTATCAAAAGAGGGGTTTTGTGGAGATAATTGAAACTTGCAATTTCAATATTTCAAGATGACAGAATGGGTTTTGTGGAAAGTTTTAGAGATTTCACAGGTTGAAATTATGAGTCGATTGAAGCTAGACCACCATGGAAAACGTGGAAGCACTGGACGGCCGTTTCATATTAGTATGGAACACCTCAGCAGTGAGCATCCACGATCCCGCCGAGCAAGACTCGGACCCAAAACCTATCACAACAGGCGCGAGCGCTCAACCCCTAGACCACTGAGCCGGCATCCAACGGACTAGGATGAAACGGCCATCCAGTGCTTCCAGGTTTCTCATGGTGGTCTAGCTTTATTTGATATTATCAGTTTAAAAATTAACACAGTTTATTGTATTGCTGTCAAAACACCTAATGTATACATTCTGAGAGTGACAGTTCTTTGTTCACAAATATAATGTCAATGTAGATTTTCTTATCTGCTTTTGGTTTATTTATCTATTTATATTTATATGCTGACATCTATCCACTTCAAAATGCATTTACTTCCGCTGTTTGATTTATATTTACTTACTCCACTAGACTTGTATTAAACCTGTAAATATTCTCGAGGAAATTATTGTATAACATTTTGAACGTTTTCATTGTCAGGCTAATTTCTTTCTAGCCTAAACATAACATAATCTGAAGTTTTCACATACAGATCATATAAATTAATTGATAACCATATTGATAAACCTTGTGATTTTAACCGTATAGAGTTTAGTATCTTATTTATACGATACTATGTTGTACTATTCAATACATTTTAGTGATTCCATTAAGGTTATAAACAGTTGATAAGAAAATAAATACATATACTTGTCCTTCAACTATTATTCGCGTTATTTTCGACTTCTCAAAGGGTTTGTAGCATTAAATCTTTAGAATAAGTTAAGAAATGAAGAAGCATATATTGGTATTACAACAACTAAGTATTGTTCACAAGATATTAGTCAGTAAATCGTTACCAATTCATAATCTGATATAAATATTTCTTAACTCGAATTCCAATGCCACATCAACACGACAAAATGAAAGTAAAAAGATGAATAACCAAAGATTCATTATAAGATAGCTATTCATTTGTGATATCAATGTTAATTAAATGGCATTTAATTATGATAGCTATTCCTAAAATCTGTTTCGCTTTTATCTTTCTAACCATTTTATCACAAAGAATGTCTACTTAAGAAAAATAAGTTGAGTAATGGTACATTCAATCTATATATATATATATATATATATATATATATATATATATATATATATATATATATATATATATATATATATATCAGTCTATATAAACAATTTATATCGTAAAGAATCAATCCTAAATATGAGTAGAATAAATATGCTAATAGTTTTTGTTTTGTAAAGAAAACCTAATGACACATAAAATTTTCGGTTAATTCATGTGAAGCGCATGTAGTAACTTATTATTGTATCTAATACAAAAAACAAAAAAAAACATACTATTCTTTTCTAACAACACTTTATTTCTTTTATAATCCGTTTGAATAAATCTAGCAACGTATAATAACCGATAAAAGTTACATCTAACTAATTAGCATAAGTTTTGAAGGAAAAAAACACATAGTAAATGTGTTTTCATTGTGCACCCTTTTACAAGAATAAAAAATATAGATATACATTTTTGACTACTAAAGAACTATAGATTTACATATATAATTCATCTTGGTAATGCAATATATATATATATATATATATATATATATATATATATATATATATATATATTGATTACACTTTTCAGATATCTACAAGTAGGTAATAATCTAACACTTGGTGTACTGAATAATTAACTCTCAACCTAGTTATATGAAAATAATGAAAATAGTTACATATGCTGACGTATAACTAATGATTTCATCATTATTATTATTATTATTGTATGTATAGAATGTAACTGGATTTATTCTTGAGCTAATTCAAATACTAAATTAATCAGGTAATTGCGACGTAATCAAAATTTGCATATATATACGCCAATATAATTAAAAGAGATAGGAATTTATCAAGATTTTGACTTAAAACATAATTCTTATTTTGTGATATTGACTTTCATATCAATTCATTACATAGTGTGGAATACATATATCGATATTCTCATGAAAATAATTTATATTATTTATTTAAACTCATAGACCTTGGTACTAAGAGGTACCGAAATCTATATATTTCACATAAATCATTGTAGTTGTATGTGGGTTGATATACTGTCTGAATGCCAAAATCACAAATGATTTTCTTAAGCAGCCAACCCTGTAACATTTGACCCAGATGTCTAGTCCTCAAGGAAGCGCAGCAACGTTAGAAGTTGCAGTCCCATGGTATTCGGGGACCAAGGGCAGGTTCATACACCATTTATTCCCTCATAGTCTAAAGGCCTATGTACACCATTGGTTTGGGATCAGATTTTCCCAACTTTTTTGAAGGGATCTTCTGTACCCACCAAAACGGTTTAATTGCTGGGTATTCTCTTTTCGTTCTCTCGATCTCGTAAACAATACACTGACCGAGAGAAAGAAGTGAGCAGGAATTCTGTGAAAGTAGCTATATATATGTGGCCATATGAGAACATTGCGAGAGAGGTAGAGAGTTGACATTCTCCACCTTTGACCGTACCACGGCATTTGAGGGCTGAGAATAAACCCTTAATCGTATAAAAATCATTAAGAAATCAACTAAGTATCAAAGTATATGATATATTTGAGAATTTTCAACTTACCGTTTAAAGTATGCAAACATTGTGAAGCTTGTTCACGCTCTCTGAAGTGAATAAACGCATAATCACTTATTTTCTTTACTCTTTCAACACTGTTAGGATCACCACCGGCAGCTTTAATAAACGAATCACGTAAACTCTCTTCTGTAGTTGACAGCATTAGATTGCGAACATATAAAATCTTGACCTAAAGTGATAAAGTAGTTATTTAAAGTCTATTACTGATAGATCTAGTCATTGAAATACTGTTTAAATGAATGTCAGAAGTGGAATGACACTAACAAATGGATTAATTATGCCTTTGTTTTCATTTATCGATCATAGATTTAAAATTTTGTATTGATGCTCTTGTGAAATTCTACACTGAAAGAACAGAAGTATTAACACTTTCTGTCTTATCTTACATTACTGTTTTTTAATTTTTAATAGACGATTGAAACCTTTATAAAACAATATGATAAGAGGATTCAATGTTAAATATATTGATCACTAAATGTTAAGCTATATAAAATCTTAAATGCCTATTGAAGTATATCATTTCCATCATACTTTTTATAAGGTCTTATATTTACCATAAATTATATCAAACAATACAACTTTTGCATAAATAAAATACTCATATGTACGTCGATTATCATTAAAATAGTTGAATTTTGTATTATGTACAAAAAGATTCTTATTCATTTTTATTTCTTGTTAGATCCAATTAAAGTCTTCTAATCTTATTATCTCAGTAACATTTTATGTACCAACAAGCAATAGAGTTCATAGACTATTAAAAGTTCATATAATGAAAGATGAGGACTTCTAAGAGGATATTATTGAAAAGTAACAGTAATAATAAACAGAATAACTTACTTTTGACATGATATCTTCATTAACCTCTCTTTCTGGTTCGGCCCAGTCAACAGCTATTTGGTGACCCCACAAATGAATGTGTCCGGGAAGTAGTTTTCGTCTGGCCATTGCAGCTGCTTTATGACTGCCGTACTCGATGAATGCGAATCCACGATTTTTTGTCTTATCGGTTACGCTTGGATACGATATTACATCTTTGACTCCATCTGTTACTCGTTTCATTTCAGATAATATTTCTTCTCTTGTTTTATTCTTGGGTATTCCTCCAACAAATAAACGACAGTTATCTACACTTAAGCATACTCCGATTGTTTTTCCTTTTCTAATTTCATAATTGTTAAGTTCTTGAACTGCTCGTTTAGTATCTTCTCTGTTAGTGTATACACAAAAGCCAAAGCCTCGATTTATACCATTAAGTTCCATCATTAATCGAAACATATAAATTGGTCCAATTTGTTCGAATACGGGAATAAGTTCATCTTCAAAACAGTCCCTGGGAATTTTGCCAATAAATACCTCACAACCTCTTGGAGGTGCCTCACATTGCCAATTTGGTGGAGGTCCGTAACGTCTCTGCCCATTCTCTTGTACGTAAGTGTATTTTGTACGTTCAAGTAAACTAACTATCGCTTGTTCAGCAGAAAGAGCATTAGCATTTTGACTTTCTTGCTTTCCTAGGATATCACTCGAAGTAGACATAGCAGATTCTCTTGTTGATGTGGTAAATGTAGTTACAGTTTGTGGCGTACTTAACTGTAAACTTGTGATGTCTTTGGTTTGTAAGGTTGTCAAACTGACGGCATTTCGGTCAACATCAGATACTAGCATGGTGATAATAGTAACAAATCACAATGAATGACCACAGAATTTGTTATGTTCATTAACTGTATATGTGTCTATTTGTGCACTGTATCCAAACTATGTGCACAACTCGTTAGAAAGTTGAACTCACTATTAAGCTTTACTCGATTTTGATTGGAGACTTATCTAGAGCCTGTGACCTTGGTATCAGCTGAGTGTTATCTATAATGAACTTACTATTTGTTATCAAATAACATTAGGTATTCAAAAATGTGTTTGTATCAAATGTTAACTTGTAAAATTTCAGATAATTTAATCCACTTAAAGTGAATGTGTAAATTTAGTTTTCTTAGTTTATTGTCACTACGTCGAATTTAATTGATAGATTATGTCATATCGGCAGTTTGTCGATTAAGTGAATAATTTAAATTGTTGAAGGTCATCCTAAAATTATTTGCAAGTTTTACACTAGTTAGATGTGTGTGTTTTAAGCATTTAATAAACTAATTAATTGATAAATTTATTGTTAATTATTTTCCAAATGAAACTTGACCTTCAATAATAAATAATAATAATTTTACTAAGAAAATAACCATAAAAATACTAAGACAATTTATTAGTAATTTTTTCTCACAAATCATATATCAACCAACTGTATAATAACTCATGGTTATTCTGTAATGAATCTTTATTTCATCATTTAATTGAAACTTTTTCGGTCACATTAACTTATAATTTCAGGTAAACTGGCTTAGTTGAGATCTATAGAATGATGTTCCATATTAGGACGAAACGGCCTTTCAGTGCTTTCAAGTTTTCCATGGTGGTCTAGCTTCAATTGACTCATGATTTCCACTATTGAAATTACTAAAAATCCCCACAAAACTCCTTCTGAGAATGATGTTAATCAAATTTGAGTTGAATTATTATTTACTTACGCCTATTACACCCAATATAGTATAGGTCACCGACCAGCATTCTCCAACCCACTCCGTCCTGGGCCTTTCTTTCTAGTTTTATCCAATTGTTGTTCATCTTTTCTCATGTCTATCTCCATTTCTCGGCGTAATGTGTTCTTTCGTCTTCCTCTTCTCCTTTGGCCATGAGGATTCCAAGTGGAGGTTTTCCTTGTGATGTAGTTGGCTGCTTCCCTCAATATGTGTCCTATCCACTTCTAGCGATTCTTCCTGATTTCTTTCTTCGCTGGGATCTGGTTTGTTCATTCCCACATTAGGTTGTTGTTGTACTGTACTATACTTGTAAATCCTTTGATGTGAGGCATGACTAGATTTTGTTTAAATGTTTCAATCTCTCGGTGAATGATGGACGTGTACTTTTGTCCTTTTTAAGAGTGCTAAATACTTATTACATGCTATTTGAATGGGCATTTTATATAAAAGATAAAATATTGAATTTTACATGGAGAAAGTTTAAATCCTCTATAGAAATCTAGTAAGTAAACATATAATCAAAATATGCTGTACAGTACAACAAGTTGTTTCACTTAAAGAGATTTTTCCATTTGTTTATGTTCAGGTGAATTCAACTTCTTGGGTAGAATGAAAACATATATTAAGATCTAATGGAATATGGGGAAAACCTTGGAAGTAGTAATCAAAATGTCAATTGCTCACTGATTCTCAGTTATTCTCTAAATAATATTATTTTATAGAGAAAATTCTCCATCGAATGAATTACTTTCTTACAAAACTCTTTGCTTTGGTTGAAAACTTAAATAGATTCAAATGTATATGGGATTAAAAACTATGAGACACTATAAGTTGGTTAATTTGTTTCACAGGGGATAATTTGGATATTTGACAACAGAAATCACAAGCTAATAAGTTGCACTTGGGATCTAATCTTACATGATATATTAACAAAATTATTTTTACATCTTGAATTAAGCTTCCTATTTTATTTTCATAGTAAACATTGCATGTCTCAGTAGGCTATAATCTGTGACCTGAAACATCCTTTATCTGTTTCATTCGGATACAGATTTGTCAGCAAATGTCAAGATCAACATGGTTCATTAATAGTTAATTATGAATCTTATAGGATCATAATGTTACACGAAATAAGAAATATTAATCTACAATAATTAATAACATTTAAATGGAACTAATCAAGTCTACTATAAAACGTACTAGTAAGTGAAGTAGAAGTAATTTCCCGTCTGTTTTGAATTGATCATATTCGCATGAAATAAATGAAAAACTCTTAGCCTTCAATTGATTTCCTTCATGTTTCTACTTGAACTTATGCAAGCGGAACTATCTTAGAATTGACGCAAATCTAATTATGGCTCCTAAATAACCATTAAGTGATATTTCAGCCTTTATGTTACTTATCGTTATTCTAATCCCTAACCCTTTGGACCACAGGTTCACTATACTGGCACAATGATATTTTAATAACTGAAGTAAATACTAACAAAAATAGTAACCAAGTACTGATTTGTATCCTATAGTGAACATAACATTCGTAAGTTAAGGTTAAAAGGATAGTTGAAATCAATAATTAAGTAAGTAATATAGGTATAGCAAGTATTGTTGGCAGTTTTCCAACAGTTTTCAATTCATCGATTTATCCAACCTTTATTCAGAAACATCCCTAGTTTCAGATTCCTTTTTTTATTTCTGTTATTTTCGATATTATATTACTTAAAAATTTGATGATCGTGGATGAGCACAGCTAAGGAGTCCTGTACTAGGATAAAATGTCCGTCCAGTACTCCCAGGTTTTCAACAGTGGTCTAACATCATTTCAATAAAATGTAACAATCTCCACAATTATAAATTGAAAATAAAAGTTTTTGTTTGACTGATATCTTCAATGGAACAGTGTCACTTGAAAATCTATCTACTGTGTGAAAGTATAAGAAGTATAAAGATAAAAATAATTCATTACTACACATAAAATGAGTCTTTCCACTATTAGTTATTTGATTTCTCGTAGTCACAATATATTTCTGACGATGCTGGTGTCGCTACAAATGAAGGATAAGATTATAGTTTGTTTGAAACTATGGTTATCAGAGCATCAGTCAGAAGTTTTCAAATTTAATGATAACTTTTTTTAAGATAACAGAATTCTTCACTTTCAAAACTGTTAGTTTTAAATCTTTGATCATAAGACTTTTCATAATGTAAAGACATGATTTTTAAACATGAGTTGACAAATACAAATCTATACCAAAGCCAATCTTTATGTCACGCATTGAAAATACGATATTTAATCTGAGATATACTAACACTTCACTAGCTATTGAAATAGTTTTTTGTTAAATATCTTGAAATCTTCCTGTAGGAGTATTGATCTCACAAGTTAATAATCAGTTATGAGCAATAATTAGTGATGAAATCGATAGACACAAACGGAATAATTAACTTAATTAGTAGGTGTATAAAGGTGAATCGAAAGGGTAACCGATGATAGAAATATTAACCTGAAATATGAAGTATTAACTAACGATGATGAAAATTGATTCAAGTAACAGATGCAATACCGGTGGCGGAGATGTAGAAGTTTTTTTCGATCACGTGATAAGAAGGACAGCAAAATCGGCCCACCAGCTTAACGAAAGTTAGGGAAATGAATGGAATGTTAAAAGAGGGATGTGGACAACATATCCTTATTGTCTGATTTTAAGTCTCAAACATTGTTGATAAGGATTACAATTTACACTATGTGGAATACTGGTTAAATCAAATATAGTTTCATCATATTGCCCTCATTCGATGATTCTTGTTTATAAATTCGGATAGTGCAATAAGATGAAGATTGTGAGGACTATGATATATTAATGCAATGCATTTCGAATGATTCGATCACATATATATTTGTTAAGAATATTTATATATAAAAGCAAAAGGTCAAATAAACTAATAGAAGGTAAGAGGAAACAAAGATAATAAAGAGAATGATGTGCAAGGGCAATGTGAAACTCAACACGCTGCATAATCAAATATTACCAGAGTAGGCTTAGGGTGAGAACAAGCCATCTTTGAATACACAAGGAGGTTTTGAATTTTCATATGGCTGAGGCTTCAATAAACTTTGATATATGCTCTTGGTTGAGATCAATCTAATGCCCCATTTCAACTTTGTTTTTGGCACTAGAACTCCTCCTGGAGCCCCTCTGGGGCTATTTTAAAGACATGTTTTCGATTAGGTTTTCAGTTAGATTTTCAATATATGAGATAAATACATCAGCTAATACTGGTCCTAACGGACTATCTATACCAATCCCATCGATCTGGGGAAGGTATTCACCTTCAAATGTGAACCGGACTTTATCAATACATGAAGGTAACAAAACTTTGAGAATTTTTAGAGGAATAGGTAATCCAAGGTTGTTCAAAGATATATAGTCACATGAAATATCAATTGTCTTTATTAAAGATAAAGTTGTGAACAGGGAATTAAAGTCGAATGAACAAATTGTTTTTTCCTTGGTATTAATGTCACCTGAACAATCGATTAACTGAAAAGAATTCTTCAGAGAATATTTACATAAACGCCTTTGGATTATTTAGGCGGACTATCCATGATATAACTCGGAGATACACTTTAAAAACTCTGGAGAATATAATCACTTGAGCACAGTAATTGTCTTTGTACGCTGGAATATTTCATACCTCAGTCATTTGTAAGCGTGCTTAACCTACTAACGAACAGTCATTAGAAATTCGGACTGATTATTGCGTAAATAAAGTCATATCGTTATGTAGGAATTAAATCTCTGAGTTTCAACGATAATAAGTCTGTGAGTAAACTGGAAGCATCTATCCCTTTCATATTAACCTGTAATCTCGCCATTCATATTATCTTAAACTATATAACAAATATTTAATGTCTTGTTTTATGACATATTTGCTATAAGTTCTATACACACTATTTAATGATTTATTCGATTAATAATATCACTGTTGGCGACTAGTTTTTATTGTCACATGTTGAATAACTTTTGTTAAATAATCTGGTTTATAATTTATATTCTGGAACCTTTTGTTTTAAAATAATATATAGAATAAGTTAAATCATATCCGTT